ACTCTTTACTTCCGGTAATAAACCTCAAAAATTTATCGACATTACTGTAAAAGACCCAAAACTTTTTTTTAAACGTTTCCTTTGACTTTGCAGTTTCAATTTGAAGTAGGTCGGGTAATTAATTTCATCTTCGAACCTTGAAAATTGGAGGAAAACGGACAAAAATTTACCTATTCGTTTCTAAACTCTCAAATACAATATACAACGTACTCCAGGGAGCTCGGGGATATTTTCGATTCGGCGGCATCTTTACGCCTCAACCATAATAGAAAATCTTGGATTCATACCAAGTCGGAGTCGGTAGGGTACAGAAATATTCCGCCCTTAAGGGACATCTAAATAGATAAAGGCTTAAACAGGAAACCGGAAATTCCACCCCAACGAGCCAATTTACACACGGTTGAATTAACAATAACACAACTCAGGATGCGCATTTTCGACATCCCCTCGGGGGAATATGTAAACGGGACCTGTTTAACAAAAAGATTACACTTGTGTTTCGCGTTTAAAACCTGCAGTGATCCTTTTATTATAACACGAATGATTGACAGAGGTATAAAACAGCAAAAAGATGCTGCAGTAAAACTTCTGTCAAGTTATATCCTATTCACCTTGATCATTTCAGAATCGAACCCCGATCCTTCCGACGTTTGTTAACGTTGTGTGCAGTAAAACGTGGCCTCTGCCGGGATTCGAACCCAGAACCGCTAGCATGGCAAATACAAGTCGGACGCCCTAACCACCCGGCCACTATCGGTCCCAAAAGTAAAATAATTCCTGTCATGCAGGAGGGATTAACGTTGGGTGTCGCGGACGATAGCTCAAATAATTTATTATTATTATTGGCCTAACTTTTTGGCATTGGCCGTACATCGATTTATTTCATACTACTCTCAATTACAAAAAAACCTTGGGCTCAAGCGGAGATTCGAACCCAGAACCGGCTAGCGTGGCAAATACCAGTCGACTACCGAAGACCTTTTAAACAATATTAACACAAAACAAAGCAAAATAATTGCCAAACAAAAGTTCACAGTTACATTTTTCCTTTTCATCTAGCAGATTAGAAAACACATTCATTCTATTGAATTATAAGTGATAATTTTCTGGGTTTAATTTTTATATAAACGGCTCAAAAATGAATAGGGATATTTGTTATTTATTCTTATTCTATTAATTTTAATTAAATTAACCGAAATATTCTTGTCAGTTAGATAAAACAAAATAGAAAATATATGTGTGGTGATTAGTGACCGTTAATGGATGATTATTCAGAAATCGTGAGATGCGGTCTGGTATGACGTACGTTTCAGAAAAACATTTTTTTTTATCGTGCCATCGTGTTGTGAGTGTTGTAATGTACTTCAAATTATATTTTAAAAAAAGGCATTTACAAATTCAAATTTTCCTATTTTTTTTTATTGCGATGAAAATAAGTATTTAATACAAGTTTCGCGCAGTGGAAACCCAGCTTAAGGACTTTAAAGTATACTTAATACATATGATTATTCAGAAATCGTGAGATGCGGTCGGGTGTGTCGTAGGTTTTAGAAAAACATTTTCTTTATGGCGCCAACGTTTCGATCTTTATTGAGATCATCTTCAGGGCTCAAAGTGTTTGTTTTCTGCTGTCAATTGTGTCATTCTTGTGTGTCGTGTTGAGAGTTAAGAACACACAAGAATGGCACAATTACGCAGAAAACAAACACTTTGAGCCCTGAGGATGATCTCAATAAAGATCGAAACGTTGGCACGATAAAGAAAATGTTTTTCTGAAACCTACGTCACACCAGACCGCATCTCACGATTTCCGAATAATCATAAAAAATATAAACCAAAAACAAACAAATGTTAATCCTCATTTTTAATAACAGATTTACTTAAGAATATTAAACATGAATTCATTTTGTAAACAAACACCTTTTCTCGTCTTTTCTCCATTTTAATCCAGTTGTATTCCCTTTAACCATGGAAAGCGATCACCTTGAATCAGAAGTTCGCAATATCATTGTGAGAATGAGTCATCGAGGTCACAGGCAAGTGGATATCGCAGGGGTAGTTGGCGTTTCTCAGTCCTTGGTCTGGCTTTCGCCCGATTCCGAGAGACGGAAGTGCAAATAATTGGCCTGGTAGTAGATCTCAGCGCATTACGACGCTAAGGGAAGACAGAACCCTTTCCATAGTGCCCGCCAGATCCTAAATGAAGTACAAGATGTTTTGGCAAGGCCTTTATCATCACATCATTCGTAATCGTTTGTAGGAAAGTTGGCTTTACATCGTTTGACCCTTTGAGACGACCTGCAGCAACAGCCCGCCACCAGCAACACAGGAAAATATGGTGCAGCGAGCGCTTAGAAGAGAACAACCAATTGGAATGTTTTTATGTTTACCGATGAGTCGCGTTTCTGTCTGTATAGTCATAGCAGGCGCCGTAGAGTCTACCGAGAACGGGGATGTACAATGCCCCAGTTTGTGCTCCCTTCAGTGCAGTTCGGAGGAGGCGGTGTAATGTCTGGGTTGGGATTTACACTCGAGGACGAATTGGAGTCCATTTTGTTGAAGGCAACCTCACCACAGTCCGTTATGTCCAAGAAATTATCGAGGAATACATCCCTCAAACTATGAATTTCACTGGAAGGAATCTTCGATTTCTCGATGACAATGGAACACCTCATAGTGGCAAGTTGTTTATCCATGTTTAGAAAACCTGGGAATTTCCGATCTGCCCCTTCCCCCATTGTCTGCAGACCTCAATCCCAGTGATCACATGTGGGATGCGTTGCAGAGAAGGCTTTTCGATCACCATCCGCAGCCAGTTGGCCTGCAACTGAGTGTAGCGTTGTAATATCTATGTAGTGAAATTCCTTATGAAATTAGTAACAACTTTATTAACAGTATGCATAGAAGTTTTAGCTAATAGAGGATATTATACACGGTATTAATTGTTTAAAAAAATTATTATGATCATTAAACAAAATTATGGAATTAAAACCTTTTATTTTGTTATTTTTCAAAATCCCTTAATTTAATTTTCTTTCTTAAGAAAAAAACAATAATTTCTAATAAATTTTAATGCAATTTATAATAAAATTGAAAATAAAAACTACACAATTGGCAATATCCCTATTCATTTTTGAGCAGTTTAGAAAACTTGGTTCGCGTTTTGAGATGCCTTACTTGAAAATTGAACAGCCAATTTTGCAAGATTGCCCAGTGCAAAAATTAATGCAAGAAGGAGAATCTGAATAGCAAATAAAATCTAATTTAAATTTGACTTATATTATTTATTTATTTTAATATTTAGAATATTCATGTTTTTACAGGATCTACTTTTGCTAGCAAACATCTATTTGTTGTATATTTATATTTACGAAACTAGTTTTATTTTGTATTTTAACTTTTTTAATATAAAAATACATCAAATTAAGGTCTTTGTTTTTATTTCCGAAGAAAAGTTTTTCCGAATTCAGGCTTGCTAACGCCTCGGGATGTTAGGATCGACAAAAACTCACCCTCCAATTATTTCCCTTCCCCTCTGCGTGATGCCGGAACGCGTCTGGCCAAAGGCGAGACTAGGCCCGTGTTCCACTGTTCAGTAATGACCAATCTGATAATAGTCCGTCCACCCTTTATAAAATCGACATAAAAAAATGTCTGCAACAACCCTACTATAGTGATGATACATAATGGAGAAACGGCGAATCATTTTTAAACTGGATTCAACGAGATAGGACAACACAGGGTTTTGTTATGACCGAGTGAAACACGATTGGGGCTCTTTTGATTCTAGGACCTTTGGGCGAATTATAGGCGTATTGTAGTGGTATACTAAGGATATGAGTGGATAGGGGCGGTTGACGTCATTTTGTCAATTCCCTCATGCGACTCCTTTATTAAAGCATACACCATTACAAATTAGACAAGGCATCAGTTTGACGACCCTGCCCGCTACTTCTTCCACCCTGGATTACCATCATTTATTCAATTTAACAGAAAACAAAGCTCTCCTTGCTTTGTTTTAAACTTTCTTCACTTTTTACACACGTGCATATGAAGAGCAAAATAAAGAGCTGACATATTTCGAAGTTTATTATTTAAAAGAAAAAGAAAATTAATTATGGCAAATTTAACTTTACACAAAGCTTTGAACAGCTTTACTAATCAATAAATATTTTTTACACAAAAATCAACTTGAAAACATACCAAAACATCACATTTCCCTCATATTTTTAAAAATTATACACAAAATTTAATTCTATCTAGCTGATACATTTAGCCACAGACATATACAGTTATTTCATTTCTGCATTGAACCGAAACCGTTCACTGAAGATGGTACAAAGTTTGGCAAGAAAATTTCCAAATTGATTCATCGGCAATGACCCAGCCAAAATTCAAACGCTGATCGATGTTTTATTGTATAATCGTTGAAATTGAGCTGGATTTCGATGAAACTCTCTTTAAACGCACATAAATACTAAATAAATACGTAAATATGTTTCTATTACATATTTTTTAACTGCATGTAAAGTTTGTATTACACCCTCTCTCTCACCCTCACACTCTCACTCTCTCTCTCTCTCTCTCTCTCTCTCTCTCTCTCTCTTTCTTTCTCTCTCTTTCACTCACTCACTCACTCACTCACTCACTCTTTCTCTATAATGATATTCAAGTATTCATTCATTCTAGTTGGACAGTCATTGGATGTAAAAGAATTGACCAAAACACTGTGTCTATAATTAAAGCATTATTTTATCTCTCTTTCTCTTTCATTGGCTGTAAGAGTAGTCAGAGTTGACCAAACCACTGCGACTTTAAATAAAGCATTAATGAATCAAATGAATCAATCAATCACTCTCTCAGTCTCCTTTTTTTAAATTTAGCATACACATGCCAAATACTACCATCATTTTAACTAATACATAGAGCAAATAATAAACCTAAATTTTTAATAAACAGACATTTGTGTATTTAACTGTGTGTTTTTATTTTTGTTGTAGATAACACACAGGAGTGAAGAAAAGCATAAGAAGTAAGGAAGAAAATTAAATACCAGCCAGTAAACGACCGGGATAAAAGATGTCGGCACAACAGCAGTATTGTTTAAGGTGGAACAATCACAGGTCGAATCTTTTAACCGTGTTCGATCAACTCCTGCAAAACGAGGCTTTTACTGATGTGACATTAGCATGCGAGGGAGGCATGTCTGTCAAGTGTCACAAAATGGTTCTCGCCGCTTGTTCGTCATATTTTCAGAGCTTGTTCACTGAGTTACCTTGTCGGCATCCGGTCGTTGTGTTGAAAGATGTGAGGTACGGTGAAATGAAAGCAATTCTAGAGTACATGTACAAAGGTGAAGTCAACGTGGCTCAAGACCAGTTGGGGGCATTATTGAAAGTAGCTGAGGCGTTGAAGGTCAAAGGCTTGGTGGAAGAGAATGGAAGCAGGCCTCAGATGAAAAGGCCTGAAGATGAAGGGAATGCGATATCGACATCGACCACTTCGCACGCTCCTCCTAGTAGTAGTGTTAACAGTGAAGAATCTCCGCCACACTCGACTGGAGTACATCACGCAGGATTTCCTAAACTACCCTATTTGTATGGAAGTAACAAGTTGATGGGCGAAAGGAGTGGTGGCAGAATGTCTGTTCCTATGTGGCCAATGGAAGGAATATGTGTGCCTAACATGCAGGGTAATTCAGGCAGTCAGAATTCTCCTTCAATGGCAATGCTTAATTGGTGTTATGAATCTCCAAACATAGATCGCCAACCTGTACGAAGGAAAAAACTGCCTAGCCCTCTGCTCAGTCACGACACCCCAATCCTCAGGACTGTTCTGGGGCAAGGCCAGGCTGATTCCTCTCAACCAGTTCCTCTGATTTGCAGGCCAGACAGCTACGAACCTGGTAATCACTCTCCTTTCACCAACGGATCAGGGCCAGACCAGGAAACAGTAAATATTACTATCAATTTTTAATTATTTTTATTTGAAATTATACTATAAAATGCTAAAAGGAACAATTTCATGAAAAAAATTATAGCTCTAACAATTTTCAATAATTTAAAACTGTAGTCTTGTCTGCCAACCATTGTTGTTTTAGGCTATCAGATGCGATTTAGCATTTTGAAATTTTCAGTCGTTAGTGTGTGCTTATTTTTTTATTTATTTTTTTTTATTTATTGTTTTTGTTTTTAGGCAGACAAAGATGATCAGAAAATGGTAGTTACCAACAAGAAATCTTACAAATTAATATCTTAAGTCTAATTGTCCGTTACATATAACATTCTAAGTTAAAAACCCTTTGTGGCTACTATCATTGCAAAAGAAAAAATTCAATTTCTCGATACAACGCACGAAATTAATAATTGTTATTCGATGAAATGTTAGTTAATCTAATTAAATATGATTCATTTTTCCAGCTATTAAATATAAAACAAGACCCTTCATTGGGAGACGCACCTTCACCTTACACTGACATATCAAATGTCGAGGAAGAAAATAGTGAACGGGTAATTAAATTTTTATCTAACAAATACCTAATAACAATATACAATGTCATTCTTTGTCTACTGTACTTTGTAATATTTAAGTTGATTGTAGAAAAATTAGGGAACACATTAATGTAGTACTCATTTTGTTTTTTGTTTTTGTTTTTTATTTTATTTAGCACTCTCTTTCTGGCTTACATTCTTCTCAACCACATTCGATGTATGGAGACTCAAAGGGTATGAATGATGATTTTAATTACTGATTTGATGACTTAAAAAAATTAAAAACCATTTTTATTTATGTGGAATTGTTTATTGTAATTTTGTATCTATTGATTTGTATAATTTTGTAAGAGTTAATAAAATCTTTTGTCTAAAGTAGTACAAGCTATGGAATTCCATAATAGAGAATCTGCGTTTGAAGAAAACTTCTTTTAGTTCCAGCACGGTTTACTGTTAACATGCTGGAACTAAAAGAAGTTTTCTTCAAACACAGAGTTAATAAAATTACATGTATCATTTGCAATTTAAAAATACTGACTTTTGCTCATACTTAAATAAAATATATATATTAAAATGAAAATTAATCTTGAATTATGTTTACAGGAGGAATATCAAGTGCAATAGCTACTTATGTGCCGACGTCAAAACCTGCCGAGTGGAAAAGATACAAACAGTACACGAGAAATGATATTATGTCTGCAATAGAGGCTGTAAGGAGAGGAATGTCTGCTGTGAAGGCTGCTAAAAAGTTTGGAGTCCCTTCTCGGACACTGTACGACAAAGTGAAAAAATTGGGCATCACGACAAATCGCCAGGTGAGGCGAAGTTCGAATAGCAACGGAAGTCCAGCTTTCCAGTACACTTCATATGGATTGGGTATGTTAATAAATGAAAGTGAACGATTAACAAAAAAATTCAATTCTGTTCAATCAATTGATGTACAAAATATAAAATGTGAAGATTACGGAAGAGAAGCGATAGCAGCTATGGGTGTGGCCTCAAACATGGAAAACAGTGGAAATTTCTCAAGTCCTGGAAACAATGAGCGTTCTCTTAGCCCGAATTTAATCAAATATGCACATCGAAGGAGTGTCAGCCCGCTGTCTCTGCAGCAGATAGAGGAAGACTCGAATCAGGTGGAAGATTTATCTATTACCCGTAAACCAGAACCGCCTCCTACATCACGTGTTATTATGCCACCAATGAGCCAAGCCAGCACAATGGTGACAACAGCAAGTGATTCCCAAGATAACACTGACTGACATAATTTATGAAAAACTCATTGTCATTTCAATGACTGTTTCGCCTCCTATTTTTAGTTATTTTATTTTATATTACACATATATTGCATAGAAGTTTGCCATTGCGTTCGATACCCCATATTAAGATATATTATTTTCTCTTTTTTGGGAAATAGTGAGAGGGGTCAGCCATTCATAAACTTTTAAGACTGTGAGAAAAGCAGGTAACCAGAAGACTGTGATATATGCACACGTACATGTCTGCAAATAAAAAGATATATTTGCACAATATATAATGTACTGTGTGCATATGTCAATATTTTATTGAAAATACAAATTATTTAGAAGCCGAAATATTAATTTCTAGTTACCTTAGTGTAGAAACAATGATATATACTCCACCATATACTACTTATGATTACCTTTGTTATACATTCTACCTCAATTCAAGACTTGAAGTGAATATATTACAATTTACATTTAGTGAGAACAGATACTGAGAACATGATACTTATAACTGGACGAGATTTTAAAGAAAACTGTTTCACCACAGTCTGTCGTGTGTTGATTTCATTACCATACATTAAATAAATAACTACCTCAATTCATAATGAGATTTCAGAGAATAAAGTCTTCATTTCGCCGTGCGGTAATGACATTTTGATATGATCCATTGGTGAAGTATTATTTATCATGTTCCTCAAGACAGACGACAGAGTAAACTATAAGACTGAATAATTTTTATATGTTTGTTGTTAATTTTAGTCAAAGTAAACCTCATTTTCTAATGAGGAACAAGCAAGACTGACAGTAAATTCATTGTTAATTTCATTTCACTATTAAATGATCTTTTAAGATTATTATGTATAAATATATATAAAACATATATCACTGGTATATTTTTTCTTGATTTATTATTTCTTTTCAATTTTTCTTTAAATATACACTTTTTTAATTTAAAAAAAAAAGTGGTTTAGAGATTTAGTAGTTTAAATGTAGAACAATTTATATTTGTGTTAAACTTATATCATTACTGAGTTATAACATAAAATGGAATAATCTTTGATTATCATTTTTTTTTTTTTTTTTAATAACCAATGTTTATAGGGTAGTTGCAATCAACATGGGTTTGATACCCTCATTTATTGTTATTATTCAAGCAGGTGTAAGGTGTTTTTATTAGACAAGATGCTCCTTACACAATTAAGAAGTATCTTTAAAAATTTAAAAACATTTTTTTATTGACTTAGTGACTAACAACATAAAAGCTAATAAAATAGATAGAATTTTGGCTAAGTTCTAAGTATGCCTACACACCATACATTATAACAATGCTGGGATGCATTAAGCCAATGTATAATAGAAAAAATTATTCAAAATTTTAATTCAATTATTTTTATGAAGATTTTAAGGATGAAGCTAATTGGTAAGAATGCATTATCAATGCAAATAACCTTCAAGGTATTGCAAGCTCAGCTTTGTTTGGTAGTTAATTCAAATGAAAATAATATATGTTCGATACATATACGATGTAATGTTGTTTTTTTTTCTTTATTTTGCAATGAACAACTTTTCCTAGAAGGATTGTTTCAATAAATTTTAAAACCAAATTGGTTATTGGTTACATCATTAATCTTGTTTTTATGTGATGAAATATAATTTTTTGTTGTCTAATAATTTGTTTATTTTATTGTCCATGTTTGTTTTTTTTTTTAATTCAAGATGGTTTTGGGAAGCAGGTATAATCAATGATCAATACAATTTATATTAAGAGTTTGTAGTATTAGATGATAATTTTATTATTTAGGTTTTAGGCTGCCAAGTATTGAATGTAAATATTATATATAAATATATATTTTGCTCTGTTAACTACAAATTGAAGTCAGACTGGAACAGTGACAGTGCATTGTAAAAATAGCCATAGAGACTGCTACATGTTCAAAATTCTCGTTTTCCAATAAACTACAGACTGAAAAAAATAGCATTTACTGAAGTATATGTTTTAAAGTGAAATTTAAAGAAATGACAGATCTTAATTATTTAAGGCTGCAGTAAGGTTGCTGTGAATAAGCGCCTTTGTAATCGGCATTAAATTGAGGTTGATTAAGTGTGTATTCTAATCATGCAATAATTTTTTTAAAACAAAAATCTGTAGTTTTTGGAGAAAAGCATATAAACCTAATATTCAATATTATCATTTTGTACTGAGAAATGTCAAAATCAAAAGGAAAAAACAACAGTAAAAGCGATTCTTGTTATTCTTTTATGTGTGATTTTTAAAAGTTTGGTTTCATGAATTTCTTGTATTGGTGTCATTATATAGGTAGTACTTTTTTAGCTACCGTACTTTTTTTATATTATTACAAAAACGACATTTACAACATAAAAACGATACAAATCCTTGATACATTTCATCATTGGTCGATTTAAAATACTGTTTTTACATTTGTATTCGGATTAAATGTTTTGACAATACATGATGCCATAAAATTGGCTGAAATTAATTTACTAATTTTTTTAAATTTAATTCAAATTTTTCAAGTATAAAATAGATTTAATCAGACTGATCTCATGCCTAGATAAAAATGTGTTTAAACTTTTCAGAATATGTTGTTCTATTTTGAATGAATGTAAATCACGTTTAGGAAATTTTCAACATCTCACATCATCTTAAAATATATATATTTTTTAAAATTTATGGATTTTATGTTTATTATTTATCAACATATATTTTCTTTTACTTTAAACTGAAAGTCCAAGTTATTGATCTGTGTAATTTATTTTATAAAATTGATATATTGAGTAAAATATAAAAAATTAACTATAAATCAATCAAAATAAATCAAAACAATAAACTTTGACTTTTTACTTTCTATAAAATAAGTACAACATGGTATAATAGTGATTTAGTGTCATCAGATAATCATACAGTTTTAAAAAAATTAAAAAAAGATAAAACAAAGAATTGTAGTTTCTTTAGGATAAGTAAATATATTTCTTTATTTTATTTTCTTTCTTTTTCTTTTCTTTTTATTTAATGCTTGGTGCTCAACTGTGTTTTAACCTCTGTGATGAAAATAGACTGAATCATGTTTTATATCATTTGCTCAAACAAAACATGTATTTAACCAAATAGATTTTGAAGAAAACTTTTTAAAAATAATTTTCAATTCACTTTTCTTTTTTTAAATAAACAATTAAAAAGGATCATTAACTATCACAAAATATTTAGTCTTGGACTATTATTTTATAAATATTATGTAATTACATGTTTACTGCAAAACGTAAAAGTAATAAAACTGTTTTAAGACTGACTTAAATGTTAGAAACTTTTAAGATAATGTAGGTCAATAATTTAGTTGTAATGTTTTGGAGCTTACTTGTATAGTTATGATCAATTTTTTGGTCTCAAAATATCAAATGCTTTATCCAAAATACAAATTTTGCTTTTCCTAAAATTTATTATTATATTATTGTAGATAATGCACTGTAATCATAATAAAAGTGTTTCAAATTTAATTAAAAAATTGCTATAAAATTTAAAAGTGAAGATATATTGAATGTTTATATTTATATTTAAAATATATTATTCAAATGTTTGTATTTCACAGTAATTGCAAATTTATTTGAGTGTTCAAAATATATAAATTGGTTGCACAAAATATATGTGTGGTGCACACATTAAGATAAACTGTTATAAATATATATATATTTAAGTAAAGAGTTTAGAAACCAAATCTTTACCACGGTGTGTATATTAAAAAATATATATCACTGAATGTGCCTTCTCAAAACAATTTGACTTTGCATAACTACTTAGAATTAATTAAATACAAATACTGCAAGTAAATCAATGCCTTACCTAAAAATATCATTTTTTTACAGTGACTTGCTACAACTATTCTCTTTGTTAGTCATTAAATATCTGAATGTGCCTTATCATCTTGAACTTTGTAATGTATTTTTGTAGCTTTAATTTTTTTTCTTTTTTTTGGTACTTTTAAACCATATTTCTGTTATAAAATTGTATTTTAATTTTTCTAATTAGTTGCAAAATGCCATAAGACATTAAGACTGATTTATTAATTTCTCTTTTTTTATCTTGTGTTATGTGAATTGTTTAGTAGAGAGTATGTAAATAGTATTCACAATAGCACAGCACTTTATATACATTGTATTAATTATGTTATATTTCTGTTATGTACTGTTTTATGATATGATTTTATACATTATTGCTGTATAATGTCTAATATATTTACTAATAAGCAATTTTGGTATTTATTATTTCCTTTTATACAATATCCTTTTTAAACCATATACAGGGTGAGTCATTTTTTGACACACCATTGGAAAATCAACGTGGGTGCGTTTAAATCTGACTCGAGGCTTATTTCCTTTGATTAATACATTAATATGAGAAAGTGAGTCAATTTTCGATGCACCATAGGAAAATCAACGTTGGTGCGTCTAATTATGACTCGGCACATTTTATTTTGTTAGTCTCGTACCAAAAAATAGGCGAGTCACCTTTCGACGCACCATTCGTTACAAATTAGTTTTAGTAGGTTGGAAGGAAAATAAACAAAACCAATATTATTAAAACATTATTCAAACAAATTAATTTGATTAAGGTTTAAGACTATTTCTTTTTTGTCCGATCATCGTTTTACGATAGACTAGGCTACTGTATTGCAGCAAATGGAGGTCTGTTCGAACAATTATTATAATTCATTAAATTCACTAATTTCGTGGTCCGCTTGATCAATTAATACTTTACAATTAATTAAGGTTTGTAGTTGAGATGAAAAAAAGTTAATGGCACGAGAGGGATTCGAACCCACGACCTTTGGCTAGATACGCCGCTGCTCTACCACTTGAGCTATCGTGACCTCGATCCACTCGGACACCAACTTCCCATCTCAACCCCACCTTTTGAGTTTTGCCTCCTTTTTGCCATTTTTGAAGGAGGGAAAACTCATAAGGTGGGGTTGAGATGGGGAGTTTATGTCCGAGTGGATCGAGGTCACGATAGCTCAGGTGGTAGAGCAGCGGCGTATCTAGCCAAAGGTCGTGGGTTCGCATCCCTCTCGTGCCATTAACTTTTTTTCATCTCAACTAAAAACCTTAATTAATTGTAAATTATTATAATGATTCTGAACATTTTTGGTTTGCTAACAAAGGAGATTGTTACATTTATTTGATTTTTTTTCTTACTTTACCAGAAAAAAGGAGATTGTTACATTTATTTAATTTTTTTACTTTACCAGAAAAAAATACTCTTAAACCTTAATCAAATTAATTTGTGAAGAATTTTTTTAAAAGTTTTACATTGTGTTTGAATAATGTTTTAATAATATTGGTTTTGTTTATTTTCCTTCCAACCTACTAACACTAATGTGTAACGAACGGTGCGATGAAAAGTGGCTCGTTTATTTTTTGATACGAGACTAACAAAATAAAATGTGCCGAGTCATAATTAGATGCACCAACGTTGATTTTCCTATGGTGCACCGAAAATTGACTCACTTCCTTTTTTTAATGTTAAAATCAAAAGAAATAGGCCTTGAGTCAGATTTAAACGCACCAACGTTGATTTTCCTATGAAGCACCGAAAATTGACTCACTTCCTTTTTTTAATATTAAAATCAAAAGAAATAGGCCTTGAGTCAGATTTAAACGCACCCACATTGATTTTCCAATGGTGCATCAAAAAATGACTCACCCTGTATATGATAAATAGTTGTTTTATACTAAAAAAGTCTACATTTTTTAAAATAATTATTATTTCATTTATACCCTATACATATTCGTACATATTGCAAATAAGATTTTTTTTTAAATTTCACACAGTCGCAACACTAACACAAATGCCAGCAGTGCACTCGGAGAACACATGCCATAAGAAACCAGCCCATGATGACACTGAGTGTAAGGGATTAACAGGCAAGGAGGTCTCAAGGCCATCATCAATCAAGGCGATATTGTTGTGGTGGGTTCTCAGGATGGGAAATTGTAGAGAGGGCTTGATCAGTAGAGTTAGGATGGATTGAGAGGTTGGTGTAAAACTTTTGAAATCAGGAACTGATCATCATGCTATAATATCAACAATCCGGTGAGTATTTCATTGGATAAAAGATCCCATCACATCAAATGATAGTGGAGCTGAAAAAAAATCTATTTTCATTGGAATGCTGGAGAAAATGATCTCATCATTAAATACATTAAGGTCAAGTCTTGATTTAAATGCAAATATAACTAACTCCTTAGTCACCCTACTGTGATATTGATTGTAATAATAAAAAAAAAATATAGGCTATTATCAAAATGTCAGAGGACCAAATTAGTGGATTTAAATTTAACAATATTCTCTTGTAACATAGATTTTATTGTTTTAACCGAAATCTCAATTCCTATCTGCTCAGTCAACATCACGGAACTATGCTCTACCACACACCTACAATAACTTTTTTTTTCTCCTCTTCAACTTCAACAACATAGCCAAATCTATAGTGGAAAAATAGACTGGCCATGTTGTAAAATGTACAACACTCACCAGGAGATATACAATAATCGAAAAACAAATAAAGACAGATAAATGTATCAATGTGTTCCTAGAAGTAATGAAAGATGCAGCTAAAATCACCTCAGAGCTTATCCAACCAAGAAGGAAGTTTATCTATATTGATTCCATCCCATCGACAATTCCCGAAAAAATTAGGCAGAAGAATTCAATTAGAAGAAAATGGCAAAAGTTAAAGGCACCATCTTTGAAAGCAAAAGTAAACAAACTTCAAAAGGAAAATAAAGAGGATTTAGACAACCCCGGTTTTCTAGTTTCTCCCGATACACAGAAAAAATTCCCTAGCTGATCTATCCCTATGGAGGGCTACGAGATTTCTCGTACGCTAGCCTCACGTGATACCACCTATTGATCACATGTAGTAGTGGAGATTAGAAAAAGCATGGTGTCTGATGATTACTTCAAATCAATATTTTCAGAAACGAGGAATAAGCCTAGACCTAGAATAAGACACCTATTTAGAGGAATTCATACTTAAGCCCTCAGCACTCAGCCAATAAACCACTGGATTTCATAACGCCCTTACAAATTAAACGGTTAATAAAGAGCTGAACCTAAGGAAAAGCCCAGGGCATGATGGTGTGATCTTTTTCAGTTAAGTTTTGTTTGTATTCTGTTTTTATTGTAATAACTGCATATATTTACAGCTAGAACCTTTCTGTGGAATAGGAATCCACACTATTAACAAATATCTCAGACAGAAGGACAAAAAGAAAATTAAGGAACAATGTAATTCACTCATTGGACATAGACAATCCAAGAACCTTCTAACCAATTTTGGCAAGAAATCACAGAATGTGTCAAAGGAAGCAGGAACTGACTGCAAATCCTAACAGGATTCCTAACAGGACACTGAAGATTAAATGGACACCTAAAGAAAATTGGAACAATCCAAGATGGCACATGTAGATTCAGCAAGGAGGCCGAAGAGACACCAACACATTTACTAACAAACTGCAGAGCTACATTAGCCCGCAGGAGTTAATGTTTTGGGATGTATAATGTGACCATAGAAGAGCTTCAACCACTAAAACCAGGCCTATTAATCAAGTTTCTTGATGAAATAGGACTCACCGATGTGCTTTAGGCAGAGAACGGGGGATACAATAGCTCTTAAAGGGCGCAGTATACTATACCCTGCAATTATATCTACATCTACATACAGCTATGTTTTATTTAATAATTCATACTTCTAATTATTCATTATTTGTTATTGTATTGTATTCTAGTTCGGTTGTTTCTTTAATTAACTATTTATATTTTGTAATGAGTGTATTTGTAAGTATTGCATAATTTTAATAGACTTTGCCTGTCAAATTAATTAATTAACGACTTGGTAACACCCTGGAAATAATATCATTTGGATTGTTTAAGCCCACGTTTTTGTCTAGAGGTTGATATTTTGCACCATGTTTGTAAAAACAGTATGTTTCAAGATAAAACTGTGCTGAGTGAGACAAATAATTTTATTTAAATTGTCATACATAAGGAATTGTTTGACTATTAGTTTTTCAAAGTGTATTGAAAAGATTGCCAGAACAGAGATTGTCAAAGCTCCTTACTACACCACGAACTTATCCGCAATGATCATGCCACATTATCTACTTAAATTGACTTCATCCTATATCATTTCTCCCCTTCTTCATATTTTTTAATTTATCTCTTTCACTCGAGATAGTCCCAACTTATTTTAAAAGTGGGTCAATATTAGATCAGTAGCCACTATCACCCCATTTCTTTATCTTTATCTTTAGCAAAAATCATGGAAAAATGTATCAAAAATAGATTAAATAAATTTATTTGTAAAAATAATAAAATTTCTAATAATCAGTTTGGTTTTCTTCGTAGTAAATCTATTTGGAGTTAGTAATCTGATTGCTTAAGGATTGGGCAGTAAAAAAAGTAGGGATTATTTTGGACATTAGGAAGGCATTTGATTTTTGATGACCATTCAAAAATTATTTAAAATAGACATCAATGGGACTGCTCTTATTCTTTTTAAGTCATATCTTTCTGATAGGCCTCAGAGAACATTGAATCTTGCTATTATCAGTAAAATGTGTGGTACCACAGGGTACAGCTTTAGGTCTTTTTTCCTTATTTACATTAACAACTTATTAAAATTGAACATTTCCGGGAAAATATTTAGTAACACCGATGACACTATTTATTCAGTAACAAATTTATGAAATTATTAACTCTATTAACAAAGAATTTTTGTGTATAAAAGATGCTTGATCAAAATTATCTGATTTTAAATTTAGAAAAAATGACTGTATCTGTTACGTTAAAAAACCAGATTTAAACAAACATCAAATTATTTCACATTCATGCAGAAACAGTTTAAATTGTTACTGAAAACCTCTTCTTTTGTAACTAAAGTAAAATACTTAGGTGTACTACTGGACCAAATTTAAACTTTAATTTTCAGATCAAAACATTGGTAAAGAAATCATAAAACTTTACGAATTTCAAATTCTTAGAAGCATTTTATCTTTATCTACTCTAAAATTAGTTTATTTCACCTTAGCACAATCCATATTATGTTATGGGATTACAGTGAGTTGAGGAATTTCAGAACTTTTAAGTCAGTTACCAAAAAGTTATACATTCCTTATTAAGAGATTAAGTTTCTCTTTTTTCTTTGTAGGACTTTTTCTAAATTAATATTATTTTTTACTTGTTTTATTATAATAAAAAACATTATTATTACAACTCCTGTTATCCAGAACAAGTATGTATACTTATGGAAAACAGGCTATAATGGAAGAATAAAAAATTAATTGTATTTTAATTTAAAAAGGGTTGTAACAAAAAATATATTTTTGTAAAGAAAACTAAAAGAGATAACATTTGATTTTAAAAGTTATGTTAAAATATTAATGTATTTTCTAATTGGTGGTCAAAAAATTAGTAATAATAACAATAATAATAATTTCTTTTACTTTTCTTTATAAAACGAGAATTAAATTCGATTTTAAAATTAATGTTTGTAGATTCTGAAATAGGTTTTATTATAGAATAAAAGATTTTTTAAATTAAAAATAATAATTAATAAAAGAAATTGTAATCTTTTTTGAAAATAAATTGTAATAAACGATTTAAATTTAATTAATATTTTGGTCTCGTATTTATTTTGGTTTGAATTGAATATTGGAATTTTGTATATTAAAAAAAGGTGCCTGATCATTAAATTAAATTAATGTAGTCCGTTCATAAGAAAACCTCTGGGACCTTGTTTTCGATTCTCCGAATTCAGGGTTGGGCCCAAAACAGAAGAGTCGCGATTACAAAATATTTTATAATTATGTGCTAATTCTTATTTTATTTTTTTTATTATTTAACTTTGAATCCAAAAAAAAGCTGTATTATCTTTTGTATTTTCCATTATGGCGTAATAGAGATTTATTATATCATGAACGAATCCATTTCTACTTTCAGACGTTCTACACCAACTTCTCGATCCATTCTAACCCACCCTATTGCCCAAGTCCTTTTTTACACTTTCTCCACCTGAAAACCCACCATGTAGTTTTAAACTAAAATAGCATCTAGACCTCCTACCCCCTTGATTCTTCTTATTGAGTGTCGGTGTTGGCTGGTTTCTTATAATGTGTATCCTCTATGGTGCCCGTCATCGTGTCAGTGTTGTGACCAGGGGAAAAAAGGTCATTTGTATTATCTTAATATAAAAGAGTTTAGATTTTGCATCAATCCGATCAACTGAACAGCGCATAATGTTTTTAAAAAATCCGAAATTCAGAAGAAATTAAACTAGCTGACAAAAAAAACACAATTGACATTATTTATGTGTATTTATACATATTGTCGGTGGTGTTTTTCAAGCTTAAATTTACATTCTGACTGCCATTAGTAGATCACATTGGGCCCTCAAATGAAACAATCTGTTTTTAATGTTGTTTATCAGCAGATCTTTTCCAACTGAAACAAAAACATAACTGATGTCAATAATAAATAATAGGTGAAGATGTGTATTTCATGAAAATGAAAGGCGTAGATGTCTGTCGTGTTCCCAGAGGCGTTTGATGCAATGTAGATTAATCATCTACACAAGAGCCATGCAAATCAGGCAGAGAAGTGCTCGAGTAGATCTAGAGTATTATCGGTTGAGTGAGAGTGGTGTGAACAAATGGCAACAAACACCTAGAGATGAACCAACTGTAGTATCTAAAGATAACTAACCGACTGTCTATTTAACTAATAAAAAATGTGTAATGGACATAGAGGAATATTGAGTACTCCACCCCCTAATTGAGTGAATGGTATGAAAATAAGAACTGATTACTTATATATAAGCTCAAATCTGCTCTTGCTCAGAAATACATGCATGTATAGAATTGAACCTATCACTTTTTCCATTCTACCGACAATTATAACTTTTGTGATTTACAATAAATTACCGGCAGGCTCTTAGAATCACCCCGGTGTTGGCAGCCCAAGGTCAGCACTCATTCTTATCCGTCCAGCCGATGAGGTTGGGCTCAACAGCTAGGTCATTTCTGCCCTCAATGTCCCCCACACACTCTAACTCACTCTTAACATTTTTACCTATTTACATGCGATTCGCTTAAAACGGTGGAGTACATAACATTCTTTTATCATCCATCACCAATTTAATAACTAACCTAATTGAGGGTCGACGGCACACTATTCCACCATTGGCCTTCTCACACTACACATTCACACCAATAAATACAATCACTCTCTACATGTGCTAGGCCTCAAAACTATCACTACAATAATAAAATCTTCAAGAATTGGAACAGGGAACCCAGATACCCGCTGCTCTGCTCATGCATAATTCTCATATCATGTAAAAAGAAAAAATACATTTAAGAATGAGTGAAAGTGTGTGTGGGTTTAGATTAAAACTGCATGTGTTGGAGGTTGAAACTACTCAGCCCTAACTTCAACCCTAAAGACTAACTTCTGCGCCCAAACAGATAACAGTCTGACCCCCACATTATCAAAACTCAAGGTAGATGATTCTCTTAGCTTCCTACAAGAAATCATAAGTTTGTACATATCAATAAAAAGAAATCATTTACTGCACTTACTTTGAATTCTGAACTCCATGTAGGTGACAGGGCTTGTCTGTGGGACACTTTACCGGATATGCCAGGGAAACCTCAGACATTGCTTTTACAATACTTTTCGCGTTTGGATAATAGTATTTGATGTTTGGGTTTCCTAGTTTGTTGATGAATTGCGGCAGAGGCTTCCCATCTGGCGATAGGAAAATAATACGAGGTGTGTACTGGCCATCTATGCGAAAATCGTCTTTTACATTTTGTTCATTTATTTGGACCATCAGGAAGTCCTTGCTCAGGGTAATTATTTCTTCTGATGATTCAATTATCGGCCTTAAACGGTTGCAGGATTCGCACAGTGGGAGATGTATAAATACAAGTATAGGAAGCTTTAATTCTTTGCTGCTTTTCAGTGCTTCATCCAAAGTAAGCCATTTGATGTTATCCGTGTAGTCATTGACCCCAACAGTATTTAAGGTTACTTTAACCAAACCAGAACAAAAGTGGATCATGTTTCTTTCTTTTGCTGTCTTCAGGTTCTATGAAAATGGCTTAGGCGAAAGCAAATCTTCCAGCTTCCTTAACTTACATGTTGTGTTTCTTGTTTTTAAATATGTAATGAATTTTGTATCTATGGCATTGTTGTAACAAATTATAACAAAAATAACATATGATAATTGTCTTTTATGTGCATATCTAATGATTTATGAATAAAAACCAAAATGTAAGAACAAAAAATTTAAAAAATAAATCAAGGGAAAATAGTAGACACAGTGAATTCAGCAAAATAAAATAGTTGCTTTTACTTATATCTACAACCTGGCCCCAGATGGCCTAGCCAAAGAAGGCTCTAACACTGCATTTGTCGGGCCACAACCGGTGTTACCTAACTCTATGAGCACAGCGAAAGAGAGTATCAATAACTGGGGCTTGAAACAATTCCTTAGGGAGTGGAATTTATCTCCCGGACACAGGCAATCGAAAGAGTTTGTTAAGGCGATCAAACCAGCTGAATCGAAATGGCTATTCTCTAACTCAAGGAAGGGAATTAGGAGGCAGATAGGTATTCTGACGGGCCACTGCCCACTGAGAAGACACCTCTTCGTAATGGGTATCCTACCAGATCCCTTTTGCCGCTTCTGCGAAATAAAAGAAGAAACGGCAAAGCACTACCTTGCAGAATGTGATAGGTATGCTAGGTCTAGATTTGAAATCTTTGAAGGAGAGGACATCACCAAATCATTCCCCGAGATAAAATGGTCCAAAATCTTGGGGTTTGTGAACAAGTCCAAGAGGTTTATGCAGGACACGTGAGCCGACCAGGTCCCGGACCTTTTAGGGATGGGGTACGAGTCTACCCAGGCATTTAACCCCTCGGGTCTTGGTCGCCCACCCTGCATAATATATATATCTACAACCTATTCACCTTTCTGCCTCTGACTCTTGCTGTTCTCTCTGACACCAACTGGCTCTTCTCTACGTTACCACACCAGTTCTTTTCTCAGATTTTGACTGATTTTTCTTTGAGCCTGCCCTCTTGACTGGTTCCTAGTTGCTTAGGGATAGTATTTAAGTCAATCAGTCGGGGAGGAGGTGGGGAACCCATCAAGCTTAGGAAATACTGCTATGCTTCCTGGTGACCCGATTGCCATTTTTTATTCCCCAGGTTGTTGAGCGGTTGTCCACAAGTCGCTCACATAGTACAAAAGTACCTTCAACAGCATAACATCATGGTCTTAGCCTGGCCGGCCCGTTCTCCAGACTTGAACTCCATCGAACATTTATGGGATAACCTCAAAAGACGAATAAGAGCACGTCCATCGCTTCCTGATACACTTCACGATCTTGAAATGATTCTTCGTGAAGAATGGGCTAACCTCCAGCAAAGAGACATTTCCAGGCTTGTAGAAAGTAAGCTGCTGCGACTTCGAGATGTAATTAAGGCAAGAGGAGGAAATATGCGATATTGAAATGATAATTAAAAATCTAATTAAACCTAATTTTATGTTACTTTAAAAAATGTGAAACTTTGATTACTATATAAAAATATATACAAATCAAGTTATATTACAAGCGGGCGGGATTTTTTTGCCTGTCAGTGTAGAATTAAGTGAGGTAAGTTGCCATTGTGTTTTTTCTAATTTTCTGCCAAAAAACATCCTTATGAATAATCTTTATTTCCTGGCACAATTCCCAATGGCAATGCTACAATAAAGACTTTTTTCCATGCTTTAACTTTATCCGCTTTGATGAGAGAATCGCTAAATGCTCCTATCAATACTGCTTTTGAATTTAAGATTAGTCTTAATATTTCAATTTTTCCATATTTTCTCCCATTCATTGTAAAAGAAAGGGACACAATTAATTACAACACTACAACAGTGCCTTTTTCACAAAGGCCAATGACTAAAACTTAACAATGCTAAACTTTCAAGTGTTTACATCAAGAAAGTAATGGTAGATGACTGACGTCTGACACCGGCATTTGTAACATTCTCCTGTTAAATTGTCATTTTTTTTACAACTGTATAGGAGAGCATCAGATATAATGATATGGTATACAGATGGCTCAAAACAAACAAAGGAACCGGATCCGGCATTTTCTGTACAAGCCCAAAACATGAGTAATCAAACTCATTAGGGAAGTACACTTCAGTCTTTCAAGCAGAAATACATGCCATCTTCGCTTTGGAAAATCTTAAGAGGTTACACTGGCAAAAAAATCCTCAAAGATCTGATGGCCAAGCAGCCATTAAAGCATTAGCATGTAAAAAAATCACATCAAAATTAGTCAGTGAATGCATCCAAAATCTCCAAAACCTGGGGAAACACAACAACCTGATGATATCTTGGGTGCCAGGGCACAGGGGAATTCTGGGTAACGAGAAAGCAGAGAGACTGGCCAGAGGAGGGTCTGCAAGACCATATATAGGCCCCGAACCTATTCTTGGGATAACAAAAACAAATATAGAATCCTCTATCACAGAATGGATCAAAACAAAAGGAGAAGTGGATAAACTCTAATAGAGAGGGCTAAACTCAGAGGAGTGGTAGGACTACTAATCGGTCACTGGCATCTGAGAAAGCATCTACACAATGCATATACGATGATTATCCCATCTGTAATGAAGAGGAGGAAACAGCCTCCCATATCATCTTTGAATGCAAAGCAACAGCTCAATGGAGATTAACCTAACTTATGAAAAAATCTAGGGAATGAAATTGTAGCAGCGACAGTAAATGACCTGATGCTTCTAAGAAGAAGGATTGAGCCTATTGCACTGAACTAAGGAACTAAGAGGGTACAATAAGCCAAAAGGCTGCAGTGCATGGGTTATTGGATTCAATCAAATTCCTTGGTGCGACACTTGACAGGAAACTTGATTGGAAAGATCATATTAATAACATGTACAGGAAAGGCATAATATCAATGGTACAATGTAGGAGAATTGTCGGTAAAACATGGGGCCTTATTTATTTGGCTACCCATGTGAATTTACCACACCCCTTCACATTGAGGTTAAGGTCAGAGCACTAATCACCTGCTATAGATTAATAGCTGTAATCATAAGTGCAATAACATAGGTCACTCGAAAATCTTACAACTATTGAGTAGGTAAACGGCCAATTATTAAGCGTTAGTGATAAAAAGATTAAAACCCCTTTGGGGGAAAAGTACTTTCAGGTAGTCACCCCTTGTGGATATAATTATAGTGTGGATGATGACCATCGCAACATAGACTGCTATACAGATGGTGCACTTATCAAAGGTAAAGGGAGCGGTGCAGGAATCTACAAACCTAAATTAGGAATCAGCATCTCCTCCCCTCTTGGCAATAACACCTCCGTTTTTCAGGCGGAAATCTGGCCATCAATGTGTGTTGTAGAACACTTAAGGAAAATAAAATTAAGGGAAAAGATATTACAATTTTTTCTGACAGTCAGGCTAGTCTTAGGTCATTACAAAAAGGTTTGTCAACCTCTAGACTTGTAGAGGAAACTGTAGATCTTATCAATAGGATCTCTTCCAGGTTTGAGAACAAGGTAACCCTTATTTGGATACCAGAACATAAAAGTCACCATGGCAATGAAGAAGCGGATAGACTGGCCAAAGATGGCTCTTATACTGCGTTTGTCGGGCCACAGCCAGTATCACCTCACTCTATGAGCACAACGAAAGAGAGTATTAAAAACTGGGGTATGAAACAATGCCTTAAGGAGTGAAATCTATCACAGGACACAGGCAATCGAAAGAGTTTGTTAAGGAAATCAAACCATCAGAATCGAAATGGCTAATCTCAAGGAAGGGAACACTGCCCACTGAGAAGACACCTCTCCGTAATGGGTATTCTACCAGATCCTTTTTGCCGTTTTTGCGAAATAAAAGAGTGTAATAGGTATGCTAGGTCTAGATTTGAAATCTTTGAAGGAACGGACATCACCTAATCACTCCTCGAAATAGAATGGTCCAAAATCTTGGGGTTTGTGAACAGGTCCAAGAGGTTTATGCAGGACATGTGAGCCAGCCAAGCCCCGGACCTTTTAGTGATGGGGTACGAGTCTACCCAGGCATTTAACCCCTAAGGTCTTGGTCGCCACCATATATATATTTATANTATATATATATATACAGATTAAAGATTGCTATCCCTACTAAAGAAGTCATGATTGAAAGGTAACATTGCTGTTATCCAAACATCCTTATGTTTTATATATCGTGGCCTAAATAAAGTTTGCTCATCTCTAAAATAAAGTCAGATACAGTTCACGTGATATTCTCTTAATGTTATGCACTGAAGACAGGTCGAAATTCACCTGTAGATTATAATTTTCTCATTTAAGTAGTCGATATTTTTTATTTAAAATGCTCAACATCAAAGATGTTACACTATCGCCAATGGAAGACTCCATTTATGTGGTGCCTTTCAGAATGAATTACACACAGGTAGTATATTACATTGAAAGATCGATTATTATATAGAAAGATAGACAGGTAGAGAGTTTTACAGACTAGAAATTATAGGAATATCTTAAGGTAATCTATTTGTCTGCATAGGCACATCTGCTGAAGAAGTGTAGTGTTCTTGACTTTACCTCCATGACAATGGTCTTCATTTTGGTGGAGGTGCTCAATCCTGGTCCATCTTGGGCTGGAGGTGACAAACTTCAAAAACTTACTTTGGATCTCTTGTAACATGTTAGGTTTATTCGGCAAGTGATGCTGCTAGCAGGGCATGCATACAGAAGCATGGGCTTAACAGTGCTGCTGTAGAGGAGCTTTTTGTTAAAAGCATGAAGTTCCGTGAAAGTAAAGTAAATAACAGCCTCATAGCAGTTTTTCCACTGTCTATTCTGTCTACCACATGACTGGTAAACATTAGGCTGCGATGTTAAGCCCAGATATTTTACATAGCCTGTCCAGGGAATGCTATTTCCTGCTGCTACAACATGGTCGATTACTGCACATCTTCTTTTGGTGAAGAAGGTGGCTTCTGTTTTGGCGGAGTTGATTTTAATTTTCCATCTTTGGCAGAAGCAAGAATTTTTTTCGATATCAGTGCTGTCTTCTTGTTAATGTGCTTGTCCTCGATTAATTAGTCGAAGTTTCGATTACGTGGTAAACATTGGGGACCACTAATTCAGAGTCTAAGAAGGCAAATATTACACCTACGAATGCACCAGACTCCGTGATTAGATCTGCCTGGAGAAGCGCTGACTAGGCAGAATTCCACTGTAGTCCTAAAATGACCGCCTGTATCATTAAGCATTTCCAAAGATGTTCGACAGACTGAGGTGGCTTGAAACTATATCTATCCAGTAAAGATAGGCTGCCATTTATTCATGGTGTGAAAGAAATCTTTTGTTTCTAAACATTGCTAACTGTAAATCCATATCTTTTTACAGAAAGTTATTCTGTATACTGTATGATTATACTATTAATGATATGTCACTAGAAAAAACAAATACAATAAAAGACTTAGGAATATATTTAGTCTCCTAATTGTGCATTGATCAGCATATCAATTTTGTTAAAAGAAAAGCGCTCAAGATGTTTGGTCTATATTAAGAATTTCATGTGATTTTAATGAAAGACTGTATTGAAAATTACAATTAATTAAGGTTTATAGTGGAGATGTCAATGGCACGAGCGGGATTCAAACCCACAATCTTCAGCTTGATACGCCGCTGCTCTTCCACTTGAGCTATCATGACCTCGATCCACTTGGACACCACTTCCCATCACAACCGCACCTTTTGAATTTTCCCTCCTTTTTGCCATTTTTCAATTACATTTCAAATTCAAAAGGTGCGGTTGTGATGGGAAGTTGGTGTCCGAGTGGATCGAGGTCACGATAGCTCAAGTGGTAGAGCAGCGGCGTATCAAGCTGAAGATTGTGGGTTCAAATCCCGCTCGTTCCATTGACTTTTTTATCTCAACTAAAATCCTTAATTAATTGTAATATATTAATTGGTCAAGCGGACCACGAACTTAGTGAATTTAATGTATTGAAAATGTTATATTGTTCTTTTGTAAGGAGCATATTAGAGTATGAGTGTGTTGTCCGGAGTCCCTTTATAGCTCCCCGAATTTATCAGATTGAACTTGTACAGAATAAATTTCTCCGATTTGTTTCTTATAAATTTAAGGTACATAGGAATCCTCATACCTATGAAACAATTCTAAGGGCCCTGATGTTGCATAGATTATGCACTAGAAGACTAGTGATCGACTGTGTCAAGTTGAGAAGGAAACCAATAAGACAAAACACACCCTGAATTTAAATTATTGTTATAAATCTTTTAAATTTGTTTACAAATTAATAGATTTAAAAAATATCAGGATAAACTTATTTTTGAATAATTTCAAATCAAACACAGAAATATTTGATTTACTATCCAATAAACATATTTGTTTTTATTCCAGGACAATGTGTCAAAAACATGGGATCTCATTAAAACACATAATAGGTATATCTATATGTCTTTGTAACTACAATTATTAATATAAGATTGATAATATTTTATTTGTAGTTAACATTTAAAATGTTTAATATTGTGGCAAGGTGATGAACCTGCTTTATCATCTCTGATCGTTATGATTTGCCTTGTCAGACAATTTACAACACTTCACCATCGGCCAGACACATTCGACCTAATAAAAGTACTGATTGACAACATAATGCACAGACAAGGCAAATCAAGATGATCAGAGGCTCCCAAACCAACGCGATTTATTTTCATTTTTTAAGTAGGGCAATTTTCAGTTTGCAATTATGATTCTAAATAAAATACTTTGGCTACAATCTTAAAAAAATATAAGAAAACCACTCAATAACCTTAAAATAACCAAAGGTTCAAATTAATGACTGAATAACAACGGTACAATGTAGTAAAAACAAATGTCACTCAAACATGCTTCAACTTTGCACCTTCTACAGTGACAAACTGTTACTTCTGCTTCATTCTAGTTCCTCACTGAAGATGGCTGAGATGAATTTGAGTGGTATCAAAATTTGTGAGTGTAGACAGACATAGTAAGAGGCCGGTTAGACATGTGCCCACTGACTCGCAGACAAGACCCATTAACTTTAAAAACAGTCAATTTAGAAACTCTTTTTCTTTTAGTTATTTATTATTTTTAAACATCTCGAATCAAACTTTTGCATTTGCATTTTTCTTCACTTTATGGGAAAACATTGAATCATGGATATGTAACCTAACCCATCCCTAGCCCTAACAATTCTGTTAACCCTATCTAACCATACTTAATTCCCTAATATACCCAAATCCTAACGCTTCTTTTTTTTAATTTTTGCTTCCGTGTCATCGTATCACGTTTTTACCTGCAACCATAACTGCACATAGTGGTGCACTATATTACATAACATATAATAAACTTTATATTTTTTATACAGTGTAACAATCATTCTGTACAACACTACTCAGAATGTTTTGGTATGTGTGAAGCAATTTAGACCAGGTAAAAAAACAATCCTCTTAATTTTTATTTAAATATTTATTATATATCTTTATATTGGATTGCTTGATTCACAAGTGGTGCAAGTCCAAAAAATAGCTACTAATAGCTCTCAAAGGGCGCATTATAATACCTTTATTTACATCTTAAGTCCAGAACAATCAAAAATAGACTTAGGCGATTCAATTTTAGATATCATCTGACCAGTATCATGAGTCCAGCATTATTCACACTGACAGTGGATCAAAATCATGTGGTGATGGAATAATCATTCTTTCATCATTGAGGACTAGATAGATAGATGTATTAGCCCGAATGTATATTGTACTGCCCTCTTTAAGAGCTATTGAATCCCCCGTTCTTTGCTTAAAGCACACCAGTAAGTCCTAGTTCATCAAGGAGCTTGATTTGAAAGCTTGCTTTTAGTGGTTGATTGAGAACTTGATTCTGAATTTTAATAATTTTCAGAGCATAAAAAAAAGTCTCAGTGAGGGCTAAACATCAAAAAGATTATTATAATTATAAAAACACCTTTTTTTTTTCAAATTTGCTGTGGCTATTTTTTTTTTTTTTTTTTTTTTTTTTTTTTTTTTTTTTTTTTTTTTTTTTTTTTTTTTTTTTTTTTTTTTTTTTGGCAATTTAGTAACTTTAAATTGTCTCTAAAAAATCAGCGTTTTGGACTTATGCCATATGTGAAGCTAAGTTAAGTTTAAAGAAAATTTAAAATAACTGTTATTGTTTTACTGTTTCTTTTATTTTTTTATTATTGTCTAAAAAGATTGTTTATATGTGTAGGGGTTTATTTCAACAGCATTCTACCTGAAGATAGGAAGGAAACAATAGACACTAGCAGATATCCACCAAAGCTTGGCATGTCATTAGAATTTTGTTCTGGAATAGTTGATAAAGAAAAAAGTCTAGCAGAAATAGCTGTCGAAGAGGCTTATGAAGAGTGCGGATATAAAATCAATAAAAACTCATTAGAAAAAGTTAAATCGTACAGGTTTGTAATGTGCTAATTCATTTTTACAGGATAATAAATCTGTTTTATTTACAGAAACGCTATTGGTGTTGCTGGCGAAACAACAACACTTTTTTATACCGAAGTTACTGACGATATGAAAACAGGGCCAGGTACTAGTTTGTTATATGACATTTTACTGTCATCACTGGCCTTTTTAAAATGTTTTAATTCATTTCAATAATTCAACTCTTCTGACAGTACTGATTCTTATTTGTAGGTGGTGGCGTAGAAAATGAGTTAATAGAAATTGTTCATCTTCGCATGGATCAAATAGAAAAAATTATACGCGAAGATGAAGCCAGTAGTTCAAATAATGTGTCTGGAGAATTTTTATTCGGATTAATGTGGTTTTATAATAGACAGAGTAAATTGTAAGAAATCTTCCATGCAATTATGTTATATACAGGATCTCACAGAATTGTTTCTTCTCATGGACAAATGATACTTTAAAAAAAAAAATAAATTGCAAAGGAAAAAATAGGCAATTTAATACATTTTAAAAATATTCTTTTATACAGTCAAATAAAAACGTAATGTAACAATACAAATAAAAATACATTTGTTAATAAATAACAGATTGTTTTTAAAATTTATTTGTCATTTTTAAACATGAAAATGTTTTTTTCTCTTTGGTTCTTGGTTTTTTTTCCTTTTTCATCAAAGATTGCTTGGTTTATAAAATACCAACTTATTAAACATCCCATTTAAACCAAATTTACTCAAGGGTAAAAAAAAACTTTTTGTTTAAATTTTATATTACAAATTATAAGTTCAGTCAGGAGTTTCCTTTTGACTAGATTTCTTTTTTAGATTTGCCACATGTTTAGCTATTGACCCTTTACCCCTAGTTGAATATATTATCGTATTGTCTTTCACAACTATATCAGGAGCTGCATTATTTTCATTCACTTCTAATACCCTATTAAGTTCTTCATTTCCATTCTGTGTCTGTTTCTTATAATCAACCTCTTCTATATTTAAATTTTTATTTTGTCTTTTATTTTTTGTCACTTTTTGTTTGTCATCTGTATCCTTTGTAGCAGTATGATCAGATTTATTTTTATTTGTCACATCCACACTTTTATTTGAACCTGGAAGATTTTTTTTAGAAGAATTTGAGCCACTTACTGAAAATTCAGTTTCTTTTTCCTTAATTGGCACATCCAATCTAAGCTTTCTATCTTTACTGTCGTTTATTTTACTTTCTTTTATTGAAATATTTGCAACTGTTTCTGTACTCTTTGAAATAACAGTTTGTTTCAATTTATCTCCTTCAGGTGATTTTTCTTTTGTAGGCAGTCCATGTTCATTTGGTTTTGGTAACGTTTTTTTACTTGTAACATTTTTTTTCATTGTTTCTTCTGTTTTCCCAGTTTGTATTCCTTTCGCTTTTTCTATTTTACCTTCATTCATAGTTCCCTCTTCAACTTTTTTTTCTGTTATTAACACTTCATGTGTTCTTTCTTGCAATACATCTTTATTCGGGATTGTTTTTTCATTCAGAGTTGTAATTTCAGCCTCTGATTTCTGTCTGATTGTTTGTTTCTTTTTAGCATCCAACTCTTCAACCTCTCGATTTTCAACGGTATTTTTATCTTTTTCTACGTGTTCCTGTTTCTTATTCTTAACTGGCTGAGTTTGCTGTAGAAATAAATCAACTTTATCTTCTTCGGAAATAGCCGCTTTCTTTTGCTTTGTATGTTGTTTAACTTTCATAGTAGGTAAAACTTTTGCTATACTTTCATTTGGGGTGATATGCACTGGTTTTTTCTCAATTTCTTTTTCAGTTTCAAGGCTTGTCTTTTTAGATGCATCAATATTTAAACTCTGTTCCAACTTGTAAAAGTCTTGTAAAACGTTTTTACCATTTTCATCTGAACTTGCAGCTAGGAAGCCATGTTTATTGTCGGCTTTGTAGGTTTCTTTATTTCCTGTTTGTTTCAATACAATTTCATCTGAACTCGTTTTCTTTGTAACAACTTTGTTCAATTCTGGTCTTTGTCTGGGCTGCTTTTGTGGGAATGCACTTCTTTTCACATTCTGTTTAGGTTTAACTGTGTCAATTGATTCTTCATTTTTTCCTGCCATAGGTTTCTGTGGGTCCTCTTCAGTTGCTGGAATAACGTAACTCACACTTTCATACTGTACGTTGTTGCTAATATCGCCATGAAAAGATGGCATTAGTACATAATCATCCTGTTGTAAAATAAAAATCATTGGCCTCGTTTTAAATTTCATTGGAGGGAACGAGTTGTAATTGAACATGACGTGAGAGAAGCCTTCGACAAAATCTAAAATGGTATGCGTTTTGGTAAAAGGTTTCAACGTTTTTGAATATTTGCTCCTCGCTTCGACTAAAAGGTGAGAAAACATTAACATTTCTTTGCTCTCAAAGTTCAAGTTTTCAGTCTTATTGTATCTGAAAAAAAAAACCATAATTTATAGATGTAAATTAAAATTTTAGCCTATTATAATTCACAAGGAATTGACATCTTTATAAACAAAAACAAAAAAATATATACACTGATGTACAAAATTAACTTACCACCATAAATTTTAATGTATTTAGGTTTATTCATATTTTGTATACCAAAAATAGGTTTGGTTATATAATGACATTTAAAAATAAAAATGTTTTATCACCTAATAATTCTGAAGAAAAAATTATGGAATAAAGGAAGAAATAAATTTAAAAACAACGTTTAAAAAAATTTTGTCCCCTTTAATACTGAGGTTTCCACTTCAGGCAGGAATAAACGCCTTTGCATTCCTTGGAAAAGATTTCTGATAAATTCCTGAGGAATTCTTTCCTAATCATTTAAAACAGCTGTTTCCAAACTCTTCTGGGGTGTTACGACCTGGGTTTCGCCGTTGTACTCGTCACTTAAAGTTGGTTGCAAATGTGTTCGATTGGGTTCAAATTTGGACTTTGAGCTGGCCACACTAGCATCTCAATTCCAACCTCATTCAGGTAGTCATCCACAATATGTGCACTATGGGGCCTGGCATTATCCTGCATTCTTCGACTGCATTGCGAGAACCTCTGTGAAATTATAGATCTTCTTCACAGAACAAACAATTCGGTGTGGGCGTCCAAGGAAATGCCACCCCAGAACATCAACGACCCACCATGGAATACCACCTGAGGAACCATACAGCATGGAGCGTACTTTCTCCTGAGAGAACTCATCCACAATCTCTAATATCCAATTCACATGTTCCCGTGCCTGGCCATTTTCTGAGCTGTAAGAAAAGGTACACAAGTCGGTTGCTGGGCCCTGAGGTTATTTTCATTTAATCTTATTTTTAAAGTCCTGGAGAAATCAAAACGTTTCAGGCTAGTCTTATCTCATTTCCATAATGCTGTGGTTTCGTAGAGCCTGATGATGGATGAATCTATTGTCGGCAGACCAGGAAGACCTTGTCCTGGCCTTCTAGTGTGAAGCCCTATATTCTGAAACGCCGAAGAACCCTTCCTATTGTAGAGTGATTTACACTCTGTCTCCTGGTGACTTTGCGCTAGCTATATCCATCCTCTAATAATGTTAGGGCCCTGACACTGTCATACTCACTCAAACCCCTGACTGAAGCCATTGAAAAAGGTTTAACTATAAGAATAATATCAAATGAAATGAATGAAGGAAAAAGATTAACTAAAAGCGACATTCAGACAAAGCAGAATGGAAGGTCACAATGCTACTTTTTGTGCAAATTTTTGTGCAAAACATTAGTACAAAAGTAAACAAAGGAAGTTTTTCTTTATTTACCTTGTTTATTTATTATTTACTAATGTAGAAAGATAATGGATTTTATTAAAAACTAAATAAATTCAGTGGAGCATTAAATTTGTCTATCAGTGTATACACATAAAAAAAAGTTTCTTTCATGGTCAACAATAAACAAATATTAACAGTTAAAAACCTATTAACATGGCAAAAGTAAAGGAAAAAAAGACTAAACAACTAATTAAGGTTTTTAGTTGAGATAAAAAAGTCAATGGCACGAGCGGGATTCGAACCCACGATCTTCGGCTTGATACGCCGCTGCTCTACCACTTGAGCTATCGTAACCTAGATCCACTCAGACACCAACTTCCCATCTCAACCGCACCTTTTGAATTTTCCCTCCTTTTTGCCATTTTTCAAATTTTCATTTTTTTTTAATCTCAACTAAAAACCTTAATTAATTGTAATATATTAATTGGTCAAGCGGACCACGAAATTAGAGAAGTTAATGATATAAAATGAAGTATACATCACTAAAGCTCTCCGTGGCCATTTCATTTGTCGTCGAGAATCCAATCCGATTACACGATATTTGAAAAATGGCAAAAAGGAGGGAAAACTCATCAGGTGGGGTTGAGATAGGAAGTTGATGTCCGAGTGGATCGAGGTCACGATAGCTCAAGTGGTAGAGCAGCGGCGTATCTAGCCGAAGATCGTGGGTTCGAATCCCGCTCGTGCCATTGACTTTTTTATCTCAACTAAAAACCTTAATTAATTGTAATATATATTGGTCAAGCGGACCACGAAATTAGTGAATTTAAGACTAAACAACATTAAAACATAAAGTATATACAAAGAATTCAAGTATAAATGTTGGCAAATTAATAGTGATTAATATCATTTGCTCAAAATATACTTAAATGATGTTAAAATTATTATTTAATCTTAAATGAAGTTGATTAGTTCATTGCTTATGTACAATTCCATAAATATACTTACATCCAATGGTCATTCAATTGAGTAAACCTTGAAACTCCCGTCTGAGCTGCTAAATTATCTATATAAACGTGCGCATAATTCTCTTTAGGGACCAAACTATGCAGTTTAGTTATGGCGAATCCTCCTGGATAATTATATTGGGCGACGTTTAATAAAGTTGTCGTTACAAAAATATTAACCATGATATGGGAGACAGCACCAGCACAAAGGAACCATCTATAGAGTGATTTATACGCTCCAACCCACCTAAAACATACTCTCATTTAAAACAACTAGAAGTGAATTTTAAAAAAATAGTTTTTTTAAGCAGGTTGCTTTTGTAATTTGATATTAAATAACGGGTGAGAAAAAATTTTATGGAAGAGTAAACATGTGTAACAAATAAAACCAAGAATGGTGTATTGTATTGGTATGATGACTAAAAACCGCATAAATTAAAAAAGGCATACCAGCCCAACAGCCATGAAAACTGCACTCGATCTCCCACCCTTACACATTTATGTACAAAGGGTGTCTTTTGAAAAAGGATAACACACTTGTGAGGTCAAAGAAATAAACCAGATCCAAAAAAAAAAAAAAACCATAACAAATTATAAGAGAATTAAAATAAATTAGATGGCTGGTACCTGAGAGGAAAACTCAACAGGAGTAAAGGATCTAAATTACATCCTAGAAAAACTCCCTAAGACTAGTTTCAATTATCTTCCAAGCTGAGTTAATAAAAAAGAATATGAAAGGAAGAAAGATTTATATGTCAAGCAGCTATAAAAAAATATGTGGGAAAATTTGTTGTTTTTGATACGGTGATTGATCGGACCATAGAGCTGAAGGGCTGACTGTGGGGCTGCACATTGCTCTCACATTTCTATTTGAAAAGATCATCTCTTCACACACGTCGCCTCCCCCTAAAAAAACCTTCACCCCAGACATCACTGCAATGCCAAATGGTTTAAAAAAAATTATTGTTATAGACACTACATGTCTGTACTGGAGTTTATAAGGTACCACCTGTTGTGTTGATAGTGAATGTATTTATTAGCGTGAATGTGTAGTTTGACAGTTGATAGTGCAATATTGAGTACCCCATCAATTAGGTTTGTTTTATAATTGGTATAAAGGATGATAGAGTAATATTGAATACTCAACCACCTTAGTGAATGGTATGTAATAACATATAAGTAAGAATGTATTTAAGAATGAATGAGAGTGTGAATGGATTTAGGAACTGCATGGTGAATCGACGTCGCTGTTGATAGTCTCTGGAGCCCAAACTTGGTAACGGATAAGACTGACCCTGGACTGCCAACACCAGGGTGGGTTACTCGAAGTCTGTCGGTAATTTATTGCAAATTACAAAAGCTAGAAGTGACAGGCTCATAAGCCAATACTTAAAACCAACATAGACTCAAGTAAACCAAATTTGTGACCCAAATGAATTTAAAGAAAATAATTATGTAAGATCCAGCACTCCGTCCTTATCAGGGTCTCACCAGCCTCTGTCTTGCAGGAGGAAGCCTCAGTAGTTCCCTCACCCTCGAGGATCACCCAAGTCCACGCAACATATCAACTCTATCAAGAGAAACCAGAGACTTCAGCACATATCCTTTGAGAATCTGATGCACTTCAGCAAGGGAATTCTCGCACTAAGAGAAATGCTTGAAGAGGCACCAATGAAAGTGCTTTGTTTTGTGTAATAAATTTTAGGCTGTTTTAATTGAAAATAAATGAGTAATAAGTAAGTTTGAGAAAATAAATTACTTACAGTCTGTTACAAGCACAAGCTGCTGACAAATTAAGCATAGGAAATGTGTAGATGATAAAGCGCAATTCCTTATGTGGTAGAAAAGAAAATAGCATTATAAATACTAAGGAAGGGATCACCAACAGTCGAACTCTCTTCTCTGAAAGAACACCAAGTGGTACAAATACGACGCTCATACCTAAAGCTCTTGGCAAAGCTGAATAAAAGTACCACAAAAATGGAGATGTCTAAGATATTGATTAAGAAAGTCTTTTTTTTAGATATATTTTTTTTTAGACAATACAAATTACTGAAATCTCATTTGTTAAGGATACACCCCATTCGGAACTTTTATTGAGCACTGAATTAAACCAAAACACTTCTCCTTCCGGCCATGTGACTCTATTCCACATAAAAGAATCGATCCCAACAGTAAATAGAAAAGATAACAGAGAAAGTGGGAGGCCCAGTTTTAAAGTTCTGAAACACAAATGACAATTACCATCTTTCAATTCAGTTAATTATAAAGGCATTTGATGTATGTTAAACCAATAAATTTATTTATATTTTATTGACAATAACTACTAAAATTGATATTTAAATTATTTTGAGTTATTAGTATGTAGTTTAATGTGATTTAGTATTAAAAGATTATATTCAACTGATATGGGATCAATGATTATATTTTAACTTTTTTATGGTGATACTTGACCAAAAAATATTAGATATGCCCAAGCTTTCTTGCCAATAGGTACTAGGAGTTGAGAAAAAATATTTTTTTGGATTTAAATATGGTTTTCTGCCTTTGTAGAGCATGCATTTCAAAGTTATTTACATAATCAGTAGATTATTTTTTCTTTTATATCATTTTCATAAAAAGTTGAATTCAAGGTTCTTTTGGAGATGGTAGAAAGGAAAAAGTTGTTAGTTGCTTGAAAAGTATTTTAAGAACAAGAAAAGAATCAATCAGCGGAGTAAGTAAATTTGAGGTGCCTACTGAAAACAAAAGGTACATAATTTGTGACAACGCAATGCAGCAATCTAGGTTCAAATATTTTTTCAGTAAGAAACAAAGTAGATATTCATTTTTCACATTCCAAAAAACCACTTAATACAAATTTTTAAGACATCCAAAAATATTTTTTCCCCTAAAATTTGCACCTTATAGCCTGCGATTGTTTTTTTTAATCACAAAAATATTGATAACTTTAAACCAACTTGACCGATCTACAGGAAATTTTACAGGGGTTTAAAGCCCTATAAACTATACATAATGGCACTAACTTGGCCTACACAGATATAAAGAAAAATATAAAAAAATTGAGAAGTTTTTGTTGATTTCATCCTTGTTTTTCTCATTTACAACGGCATAAAATTTGTTGATATAGCCTGAAAGAAGAAATATTCTGCTTTCCAACAGCAGTAATAACGTTAAATTAGGATAAAATCCAGAGGAGTTATGATTTTTTAAGTAGAAAAAAACAATGGAAACAAAAAAATTGCCTCTGGCAGATCTAGGCTAAAAATGTATTTTTTATATAGGTCAAAATTCATATTTGTTTTACAGGGTGCTAAAACAAATCCAAATGGTTTTGTCAAAACCACAATTTTTGGCCATACTTTACTCAAAGCGTCTTTGGATTTTGTAACTGTTCATTTAGTTTATCTCATTTAATAAGACTGTTATTATTTCTTGTTCTACATAAAATAAGGCTTTTTTTTTGCTGATATTGAACCCTAAAAAAATGCACAACCTGACGCTAAAAATGCAATAAAAAACATAATTAACATTAAATGACAGTGGGTAGTCAGCAGAGAAGCCCTCGCGTATCAAGAGCACTGTCAATAGGTGGCCTTCGGAGGATCTGACTCTCATCCTAACTTGGTTAAGGATAGGCCATGCAAGGTTGACACATGAACACTTTTGAACCAAAAACAAAGGCATGTAGAAAAAGGGTGCTCAACACGTACCACCAAATTGAAGGGTGAAATTTCTTGGCTCCATAAGAGAGCACATAGGAATGCCACCTGGACAAACTATCCAAACTCGGTGGACAGATAAGACTGAGGTTTTTCCCTAGATTGCTAACACTCAACGTGGATAATTCTTGAGGTATTTAAGATTAAGACGGTAATTTATTTTAATTACAAAAGCTGGAATAAAGCCAGTGGATGGGGGAAAAAAAGGCAGAAAGCCATATTTAAAAAATTATTTAAAATATTTTCTCAACTTTTAGAGCTAGTCTAGTCTAATATTTTTCAACCTGATATCACAAGAAAAAGTTTCAACTAATGTGGTGTTCCCCTGTCTGCAGCCCCCCCCCCATTGTCAATATCTCTACTCTTAAAATTTTGTATGATAGAAAGAATTTCTGTGTTCCTTAAGTTTTATTACCCTTAGTAAATTTATGTGCAAGAAAAACAGCCCAATAGCTATATACATACCTTAACAATGTAATTTTCCCACATAGTATTTCTAAAATTAGTATACATCCAAAAAGGATCGCCAATTCAAATCTAAATATAATAACAGATATAGATGAAAATGATATTAGAGCTAAATGGTTTCCTCTGATCCAAAATGCAAATGCTAGTAACACTAAAAAGAAGAAAAAAAGGTTTTAAGAAATATATTTATACAAATGATAGTGTACAGAATAAATAAATACCAAATGGAAGAACCATGATATTTGGTAGAGGTCGACTTAAATAAAACATAAAATGGAATTGGGATAGTGTAATTACAACAAGCCAAGTAGTAACTTGCTTTCCATATTCTTTTTCAACTGTTCTTTTGAAAAAGTTAAATGAAAGTAACACGCACGATGCTAGTGCTGTACGAACTATAAACAAAAAATATATCAATTTATAAAAAAAAAAGAATATCATTATCAATTCAATTATCAATATCATCAATGAATTAAGGTCCCTTACCAAGGTATTGGCTAAAAATTTTCGTAAAACTGTGAAATCCAATAACTTTGAAGATAAAGTAAATTGGAGATACAATTAACGACAGCAACATCGGCCCAATAAAAGTTCGAGGTACAACACCAGGAAATTCATGATGGTCATACTGAAAGAAAAAGAAAATTACGCAATTTGTCTCATCTATTGGATTTATTTGCAAATATTCAAACAGACATGGATTGCCATGCATCTTTGCAATTTTAATTACATATGAGATTTAACTCAAGCAGTTATTCAAATTGTAATATTTAAAGGTTAAGCAGATGTTAAGAGAAAAAGCTAGCTTTAAATAATTATACTATTAAGAGTGTTGTATTGAAAAATTAATAGGCCTATGTTTTACACAACTATTTCAAAAAATTAATATAAACGCAGTCCACACATTAATTTACTTGAGTCATAAACGATGTGGTAATATTATTACATATGTACACTTAAGTCAATTAACAATCTCCTCAAATACATTTACATCTATTAAAAATGATAATACAAAAATGTATCATTCGTTGTAACAATAGTATTACCGCCCCCTCTTTAACATTTTAAATCAATTTTCATATTCAAATTGCAAGTCTCTAAAAAGGAGTGAAATTCATTTACATCACTCACCTTTCAATTGAGATAACTGAAGGGTGATTTGTGCATGTAAAGTTACAGAAAATAGCTCATATTATTAAACTTTATCTTCAATTATATTAAGCTGTGAAAGAAATCATAGGCAGTTAACTTTGTTAACTCGACATTTACAAAAACAAGTTAACTGTGATAACAATGGGTATATCAAAACCCTACAATTATCAACCATGTTCAGGTATGTTAGCCATGTTAATAAAATAAAGTATGATTTGGTATTGCCAGGTAATTCATTGAAATGGAACCATCAGAGTAATTTACCATTAAAAATTATTACTGTAATATTTTTTTTTTATTTTAGTTACTTATCAAGCAGAGTAAAACTATTTTTAGTAATAGCAGTTATTGAATACATATAAGCAGCAGCGACTAGCCAACAGAAATAGTATTATTACTATAATTTCGGGATAGAAATATTGTTTTTTATTTACTATTTAAGTTGTTTAATAATAATGAAAATACTTACCATATGGTATAAAGGTTTCTTAACTTACTATTATTATACTACAGTTCGTAAATCACCTACAAATTTAATACTTACTACGTACATTAAAACTTGTGACAATGATGTTACATGGTGAATTATCTAGTTGTAAACCTTTTTTTATACTTAAAAATAACTATTACTTTAAATACAAGGAGATATGGGCTGAATGGATTACAAAACATTTGTGATTTGGAGTTTTATTCATTGTAGAAAATCATTACAAAATAAATTTGACATAGTTCACAAAATGCATCAAAGCATGTTTATTGAATTTAATTATGGGTTTGACTAGCAATTTCAAAGACAAGACACAATTTACATTATTTACCTACAATAAATACGAATACAAAATATTAGGAATGTAATAATGTCATTTAAGCTTATTTATACGGTACACAATACTAAGGCAAACACAAAAATTAAAAACCAACAGTAAGTTCTAGATACAATATTATTTTAAATTAACAATTCAAATCATAAGAGGTACTGTTCAGTTTGAATCATTAGGAGTGATTTGCATACAGAACATTTAAGCAAACATTTCATTTGTTGTTTCGTGGGGTTTGGACAAACAACCACTGAAGATGTCGAAATGCATCTAACAGACTAAACTATTGAAAATAAACAGACTGGAATTATCAGGTATGATCCAATTACAAGATCACGATATTGCAGATCTCAACACACTATCTAACAGCTATTTGTAACCATCAGGTTGATCACATCCACCTATTCTGTCTTTCACAGGCTGGGTTAGTTTCAACTAACATATGTATATAAGCATCAGAAGGAAGGAGCAAATAAGACATATGTGAGTCAGTAGCAGTTATTCACTCCATTTCATTTCATCATCAAACGATGATCTACTGGCATCATGTCTTTATAATGTCAAAGTTTTGAATTATTATAATGGAAATTCTTACATGCGTATTTAACAAATAACTTAATCTGTTTGATGTTGCAACCAGTTTGCTCAATGTTGCAATAAGTTGCGCATTATTAATAACTGAAAAAACATCTTCCCATTGCCTTTAACATTAATGTTTTTGGGATGAAATTTTTTTTTGTATGACCGTTTTTGCAATGCCAGGGAGTGCTTTTGGTAGGGTGGGTATGGTTGGGTTGGTATGGTTAAGATTATGGGTGGATTAGGTTAGGTTAAGTAGGGCCAGGGGGAGGTAGGGTTAGGGTTAGATTAGGTAGGTTTAGTGTTAGGGATGTATTGGGTTAGATTAAATTTAGTTAGTGTTAGGTTAGGGACTCATTAGGTTAAGCAAGGTTAGGATTAGGGTTGTGTTAAGTTAGGTTAGATTGGGTTAGTGTTAGGGATGCATTGGGTTAGATTAAATTTAGTTAGTGTTAGGTTAGGGACTCATTAGGTTAAGCAAGGTTAGGATTAGGGATGTGCTAAGTTAGGTTAGGTAGGGTTAGTTTCAGGGACTTGTTAGTTGTGTTAGGGTTAGGGACGTGTTAGTTTAGTTAAGTAGGGAAGTAGGGAAGTGCAAGTTTGCCTGCTTGAAGCACTCTCAATTTATTGAATAAATTCAGTTCGTGCTTATCTCAACTTGTGTAAGGACATGTAGACCAAATTACTACTTTTCATTAGTCATTATTACAAAAACAGAAAAGATGAAAAATGTCAAAAGATTTGTCAATTTGCATACAGCTAAGACAAAGCTACAAATGCTTTAAATAGAGAAAAAAGTGTGCCATGGAATATGGATCAAATGTCAAATTAGTATTGGATATTATTTGGTTTGTGTATTGGATAAAATAATTCATCACAAGAAATATTGTTCATCACAACAAATATAATAAAAGCCAAATAAACGATATCGTTTTCTTTTTTTACTGACTTTATAAAGCTCCATATTGTTGTTACTTTATTTTTACAATTCATTAATGCATCAATATCAAACCTACCTAACTCAAGTTTCTCTTTGTAAAATTTCATGAAATTATGTTCAAGATATGAACGAAGTGAGAACATCTATCTAAATTAGAAGGCAAGGTATATCAACTTAGTTTACGCCCTTCATAATAATAAGTTTTAAACAAGTGCTTAAATACACACATGCAATATAATTACAAATCGCACATCTCACAAACCGATTTGGGGAGGATTGAAAGATAATGAAGTATTTATATTTGTGTCTAAATAATAAATTTAAGGTACAATTCTAATGCATTTTTTAAAATTAAGAATAACTAAACGATGTCCAGCAGAACTACAGCATTGTGTAACTATTAGCCTTGTATTAGCGACACATGGGATGTTCACTTAATTTTACTTTGGTCTCAATGAATGAAGGGATGGAAGTAAGATTGCTGTTGAACAAACAAAACTCCTTAGGGACAACTATTCCATCTGATGTCAGTCAAAAACATCTGAAACACCAAAAATTAATTTGTAGGTACGTATTGGTAAATGCCCTCAGAAATGACCACTATTTTTTTTTATAGAAAAAAAAAAATATATATATAATACTAGCTATTACCCACGACCTCATCCACGCGGGACTCTGTTTTAATGTACCTTTCTAATGCGATGTAGAGTGCTTGTATGGCTTTCTAATGTAATTTTCCGTTTCTCAAATTCTTCTCTTCTTCAGTTCACTTCGTACATGGTAAAAAAAGTCCATATAATCCCCTTAGGGATGGAATTTCAAAAAATGCTTTCTTAGCTGCTACCCCTGTCATTACAGGAATGCACTGTTGAAATTTCATCCCATTAGATCCAACGGTTTGGTCTATGCGTTGTCTATCAGTCAGTAAGTCACAGAAAAATTTATATATATAAATATATATTAACTTTTCTTTTAAATAAAGACAAAAGTTGAAGCAGAAGATGATTAAAGTTTTACTTCAAAATGTACAGCTACGCTGTCGCACCATTACATCCTCTTGTTCTTGTTAACCCTTTTGACTTTTTTTTAATGCAAACTTAGTTCTGTTTTCTCTTTTGATTAATAATAACATTTTTTAAAATACAGTCCTCTTTAGTTAATTAAACATGCTAATAATCCAAACCGAATCGAATCATCAACAATAAACAACTTAAATTTTTCAATAAAAAATGTTGGCCGTCGACAGCTGCATTAATCCAAGAAAAGAAACAATTTTATAATGGGTGTACCCTGATTACCATTTCAACAATTAAGCAATGCAAACAGAAAAATCTGAACAAGCCAAATTATATTAATCGAACATATTAATTCTACCTCTCAAACTTTAAAACTTTAGAATATTAAACTTTCTTTCAAATTCTGTTAGCAAAATCACACACTTTTTAACAGATTGCAACACAGGACGGCATTTTATGAAACATGTCAAAATCATTTACAAGCCTATTTTTAATAGTACCCAACTTCAATTTTCTTAAAACAAAATACATATGACAAAAAAAAAGTAAATTGATCAGATAAATTTTTTGTAATAAAAAGTCGTTTATTATGGCTTTACATCCCCCAAATTAATATGCCTACTGTTTATACTTATATATCCTTGGATTATAAGTGCGAATGTACTTGTCAAAATGACATAATTCATGTATAAAATAGTTAATATTTGAATAAAATTGAACAATGTGATTTTCTCAACACGCTAGAACGAGTTTTAATTTAAATTGATTTATAAATCAATTCAAATCATTACTGTGGTTAAATAGGACAAACTAAAAAAACACATGGGCTAGTTTTAATGCCCATTGTTCAATAACTTTTTGCAAACAATTTTCCACTCATGATTTTTTTAATAGTAATATCTTCAGAAGTATTATTTAATTGTACCCTGACAGTTTTTACTAAGCATTTTGTAACAATAAAATGTGTTAGTGAGGAAAAACTGACAGTTTTCAGATTTAAATTTTAATTCATTGCATATTTCCAGATCAATCTTGTCCACCAACTCGCCAACCTAACCTGACGCTCCTTTAAACTTCCGACAAATTATTTATTAATTATGGTAATATTGCCCATCAAGCACCCCACACCATCAATTTTCTGAGATCCATGCAACGGTCTCTGTGCTCAAGAAATACTTAAAAAATAATCAAAAGGTGCACAGATATACATCCATAGATGCCCAAGCTGCATTGACGACCTCCAGCTCCTGGGAAAACATAATGAGGTAGATGGTAGTCAGAGGTAGATGCAGGTGTGAGGACACGGGGGGATTGAGAGAAACAAATAGCGGACTAGGAAAAGGTAGGAGCCCCACACCCTTTGTACTGGAAGCGGAAATTGGCACGCCCCAAAAGCATGCTAAAAGCAGAAATGAACAAACAGAGAGAAAACAAATGACTAACTGACAAAAATTTACCTCTCCCTCGGTAGGCTTGAATTGAGTAAAACAATAAACTTTTATAGTTTATACTGATCATTGTCCATTCAATTACTGCCTCAAAAAATGAGATTAACTGAGCAGAAACCTGCTGACTCTGTCTTGAAGAAGCAGAAACATTGGAAGGAGTTGACTGTAAAACACTAACTTCAGAAACAGTACAGCCTCTCCAGAAGCGACACTAAACCCTAGTGTAAAAAGAAGATCAATTACTTTAAGGGTAGTGCGCTTTTTTGAGATTTAGAAAATAAAGAAGGGTTAATTCCATAATAGATCGACACGGAGGAAGAAAGAAAGACTGATCACCAGTGACCTCGAAGTACTTAAAAAAAAATCTAGAGGCCAATAGGACAAAACTCCATGAATTTTTTATGCTTTCCAATATGAGAAAAGTATTTGCATAATTACTTTTAGGGTCTCCAGGGTGATAAACCGTTAGATTGATGGTTTCCAATCATTTTGTTCATAATTTTTTTCTGCCTGTCAGATGCGTTTCGGCTTCACTCCACCTTCAGTTCTGGATCTGTGATTCGATAAACTGTTATCATTTCCGATCACCCTGATCCTCCTGTCCTCTCTGGTTCAATCTATGGGTGATTACATATACTGTGAAACATACGAGGTTTGACAAAATAACTCACAAACCCATCACTGAAGAAGACGAAAATCCAAAACACACGTCTGACAAACCAAATCGGCTGAGAAGGACCAAACTGCATTTATATAATAATCAATGCAGTCCATGTGAAAGAAAACTCAGCGGCAATAAAAAATCAAGGCAAAATTTGATTTTCCCCTTTTTTTTGGGGTAGCAAAAGTTGATCTTTAGTTTCTTCTGACAAAGATACCAAGGTATCAATGCTGTTTATCCAGTTCAAATTGTCCATGGTATTTTTTGCATTTTTATTCCAAGAAAGTGTTTTTAGGATTCTAAACTTTTTTTCTTTTTGAGGGCAAGGTCCGGTGTTTTTTAATTGAATCGACAGTTCATTTCAAATGCACATCCCCGAAAACAGAAGAAACTAATAAAGAAACAAAATAAATCAAAACTTACCTGGGTGAAATTGAATCTGTGGTAAATCAAGTCGTGCGTCGCTTGTATATTGAAGCTCTCTTCTACTTTTGTGAAAGGACATATCACCAAATGAACCCCTGCCACAAACCATAATAAAAACATGTCCAGGGTTTTTGTAAAATAGTCTGGAAAGAGAAAGATCGAGAAGAGGCTGAAAAAGATGCTGAGGAGGGCAAAAATAATAAAAGGTTAAGGGGGAACAAATGGATAAATAATAGATGGAAAAAATTCCACGACGACCTGACAGCTACAAGGGAGTTTTAATATATCTAAATGTCATTTTGTAGTTTTTGAAAAGATTGACTATTTTGGGAAAATGTGTGGTTTTTGATAAGATGATTGGTCGAACCATACGTGCTGAAGAGTTGACGGTGGAGCTGCACGTTGCACTGATAACAACTGTTAACCGAGAAGATTCCCATTTGAAAAGATCGTCTTCACACATGTCGCATCCACTTAAAAAATCTCTCACCCTGTACGTCACTGCAATGCCATCTGGTTAATAAAACATTATCCTTTTTTTAAATAATCACATTAAGTTGTTTTCCAACGATCCGGATTTCGAGCCCTTAGCTCATCGCCAGGTTGATGGATTTCTACAACCACGACTCTCGACATGAATTGCAAAACTGAACCCGCCAACGCGACGTTCTAATGAGAACCTGGTTTTTTAATGGCGCTCAATTTGAACGTGCGAAAAGCCGGAATTATAACACAAGTAAATATTATAATGGTAAATACTGTAAGAAATTAATTATAAATTAATGATTAAAGATCAAAGATAAAAAGTTAGAGTAATACCTTAATATTATTAAGTTATTATAAAAATAATAACAATTACAATAATTAATTTAATTATTTGGATGTTTAATATTATTTATGTACATATTTAAAATGGAAGGTAGATTAAAATCTATATATTATTAATGCATTTATCTCCATGTTCAATTTTACATTTTTTAATTTCAAATTTCTCGAACCAATCTAGTTCTCTCCCTTTGTTGAAACTATGTAACACTCTTGTATTTAAATTTGAATTGAAATTATGTTTTGTTTCTTTTAGATGGTCCTTCAATTCCGAAAATTTGTTCGATTTAGGCAAGTGTGCAAAATTTTATTGTCTTGTTCGATGAAAAAGGCTTGTAGGCACGTTTTTTAACGTATTTTTCAACGAAAAACGAAAAAAAATCTAAAAAATTTCTTGTCTTTTTCGATGTTTTTCAAGAAAAACGGAAAAAATCGAAGAGAAATTTTGTCTTTTTCGATGTAAACCGACCTGCTGGGTCGATTGGAAAAGGAATTAGTATTGTAGGACACGTTGTTTTCAAGAAAAAGGCAAAAAACCACAAAAAAAAGAAAAATGTTTTTTGTCTTTTTCCTGGGGAGCACAGATCCTGGGTAACATCCACAATCATCATCTTCATCACCCTTTATGCATTCACTCTCAACACACACCAAGGGACACAAAACTATCAGTACTATTGTTTACATGTAAACAATTTTTTTTTATATTAATAGTTGATCATTTAAGTTTATATAATTTTCTTCCCTTCATACAAGTTAAAAACAAAAATTGGTAAATCTAAGAACAGGCTGGAGGGAGAGAATCACGTCATTTTTCCAGCGAGTCGTCCTAAAAACGACGCCAGTTGCTCCCAGGCTTCTATCTGGTACATACGAACGTCCCGCTGGCATCTACAGAACATTGGTCCTCCGGGCCGGATCAATGTTCTGTAGACGCCGGCGGTAAAAGCCTTTTCTTCGTATATGTACATTATTTACAAGCACATTAATACTTAAAGTACTCACTTTCTATGATGAACTTATCCTCTAGAATTAATTCATTCTATTAATATATTTTAAAGGAAAATCACATACTGCTCTTTCCTCTGTACCTTTTCTTTGGATATTTACATCATTATCTGCATTTACAGGAGCATTAATGTGTATTTTCTACATCTAACTAATTCTGTAAAATGAATTCATTCTATTAACATTGTTTCATTCTACTAACATGAAATTTAGTATATCACAATTACAGTACTGATTAGAACCCTCGGAATGGGTCTATGATGTTTTTCCTTTAAACAATATTAATAGAAAGAATTTATTCTACAAGATAAGTTGAATGTTGAAAATGCACATTAAAAATCCTGTGAATGCAGATAATGACATCAAATATACTAAGAAAAGGAGAAGAAAGAGCAATGTTTTACATGTACCTATAGTTCAATATGGAAATTCACTCCTGAATATCGGTTTACTATTATTGAAATATTTGTACAGATGAAACACCGCTCTTTCTTCTTCTCCTTTTCTTCGTATATTTGACATCATTATTTCCATTTACAGGGGCTTCAATGTGTATTTTCTACATCTAACTTGGGGAATGAATTCATTCTATTAATATTGTTTAAAGGAAAAACTGCATATTTCAATTCTGAAGCTACTTATCTGTACTATAATTGTGATCTACTTTATTTCTTCCTAACCTTTCTTCATGTACTGTTCAATATTGAAATTGGAGCCTAAATAGATGTTTACTATTTTTGAAATATGTGTGAAAGTGAATCACTGAGCTTTCCTCTCTACCTTTTCTTTGTATATTAGATAGACATAATTATCAGCATTTACTCGAGCTTTAATATGCATTTTCTAAGTCTTCCCATTCTTACCAACTTAATTATGGATATTTCAGCATGAATGTTTGTTTTATTGCTTAGATATGTCTGCTTACATACGAGAAACAGTGCTCTTTCGTCCTCTCTCTTTCACTACATAGTTGATTCTTTTTCTTGAACTTTAATATGTATTATTATTATTATAGTGTATTATTATGCTTCATCTAATTTATATTATAGTAAATTCATTCTACTAATATTTTGTGAAAGAAAATCATTTTAATTGTACAGAGCTTTGGCTCTGCTGTAAGTTATATCCTAAAGTTTTCCAAGTTTCATTCTGATGCTTTTTAACTGTTCTATCCCAAAATCCCTCTTAATCTCTCTTTATGCACTGTTTATTAATTAAATTAATCACCTGAAAGTTAGAATGTTTAGATATGTCTTCTATGCAAGAGAAACACTGATCTTTGGTTCAATTATTTTCTTTGCATCTTTGATTCAATATCTTTTGTGTATTTTTTATATACCTATTGTTTGGCGAGAAATAAATGAATTTTTTACAATAGATAATTCTATTCTTTTAGACCTGGCATGTTTCTATCAATAGATAGATGTATTGTCCAATTTTTGCAAATACTTTTTGCCATCAATTCCTTTTGAATAAAAATTCCCTTCTTTAGAGTCAAAGAACATTTGAACACTTTCAAAGATTTGGAATTTAAAATTTTTTAATGATCGAAATAAATAGTAGTCCCAAGGTGAAATATTCGGAGAGTATAGCGGGTGTGATAAAATTTGCCATTTAAGATTAGTTATTATTTGTTTAGTCGTCAAAACAATGTTGAAGCGGGCGTTGTTGTGGTGAAAGACACCTTTTCTGTTTGCTCGTGCAGGCCATTTTTGCTTTATTTGAAGGTGTAAACAGGTTAGCTGTTCCCAGTTCAATTCACTATTAGCCATTTGGCTCAAAATGCATGGTGCCGGCGTCCCACCAAATGCACTGTACATTTTTCTTTTTTTCCGTACATTTGTTGTTTTGGAACGACTCGGGACCGTTGACCGGGTTGGCAATAAGCTTTTTCGTGGACTATGTTTTCATATATGATCCATTTTTCATCACATGTTAAAAATCTTTGAAGAAATGGGTCATAAGATTGACAACGGAAGAGTGAAGAGCAATTTGAAATGTGATCCGCCAAATTTCCTTCCCTTAAATCAAGCAAACCAGTGTTAGACTTTACTAACATTACAAAATTAGTACCAAACGCTACAAATTTTCAACTGTATTGTTCCCTTTTTGGAATTCGTAAAAGTAAACACCTTAAATGCTTTTCATCCAGATATCGTTACCTAGTAAATTATTCATCACAAAGAAATCGAAAAGAGAAAGTGAGGAAAAATAAAGCCTTTCAATTTAGGTATTAAACAAGCGTATTTGTAAATGAAAATAATATAGGCACAAAATGTAAATATTGAGCTAATTAATCCTATAATTGAAAAACGACATTAATCCCTTGCCAAGCCAATAGTAACTATAACAGAGTAATTCCATACTATAAATATTAAGCAAATGGAAAACAGTTTCACCCTGATCTTTCTCACATGATATATCCTAAACCTTTACCTACTGTCCATTTTATAAAAAAATCAAGTAATGTAAAATCGACTCATTTATGACTGCAGTTGACATAAAAATATTTCAAAAATAACTTAAAAACTGAATAATAATAAAATTCCTTTTTAATAATGAATATGGTGGATATGGATGAGATTAAAGATAACAGCACTGCATGGTGTATCTTTCTTTACTAGGAAACATCTGACAGAACATTTAAAGTAGGACCTCTTTCATAATTCACCACTTTAACAATTTAAGGGAGAAGGATATGCTATTTAAATTGTAACGGACACTCCACTCAGTAAGTTGTCTTTATTTCCAGTGTTAATATACAAATTGCCACCAACATGGCGTCGTGAGTAAACCACATTAGCCAGTCTAAGCCATTAGTTTCTCTTATTTTTTGCCAGTTATTTGTTTTGGCATCAGATGCTATATACAACGGTTGTAAACATCTAATAGAAACGTTCCGCCTGAATTAGGTTAGGTACAACTTATTTTGTTTTCAACATTATTTTTTTACAATAGAGATCTTGATAATATTAACTGCAATACTGAAAAGGCTTGAACCATGCCCTTTTCAATTTGTGTAAAAGAAAAAAAAAGCTTATGAGAACCAAATATATTGGGCTTTTAAATCAGCACTCTGTTATTTGTTTAAAGACAGATAATAAATAAAATAAAAATAATAATAAAAGAAAAAGAACATTTCGAATATAATACATTACTTTTAGGGCTATAGTTCTTACATACATATTAAAACTTATGGCTAATTCTATGATTTGATTTAGTCAATAATTTTCAAACATATGATAAATAATTTGACTACTGTTAAGTGCACCAAGCTGGTCGAAAAATTGCACATTTTGTACAAATTCGCCACCTGAACATCTGCCAATTAGATGGCACACCCGTATACTACACACTGATTCATACATACTGAGCCTTATCATCCCCAGTCTTATATACAATATCAACATTTTTTTATTTATTTTATTTATTTATTTTTTTTTGACATCATGTAATAATGGCATGCCAACATTAATGATTTGGTATAAAATTATCACTATGACAGTGACACTGTCGACCATAGTTCATATTATATATTTTAAATTAAATTTCAGAGCTGTGAATACCAAGTTTTTGTTTTATTTTAAAAGCAAATCATATACTCAATTTGATTTCAATTTTGACATTAACAACTCTGCCCAGAGGAATTATCTTAACATTCTTTTACATGCTTTTCCATTATATTACGATTAAAATTAACTACTATTTTTTTAATAATTATTTTTACACAATTTTTAAAAAATAATTTAGTGGTTTTATTAACAGTAGGAAAGTTGTATTAAGAAAAGTCCCAGCGATTAAATGTGATGGAGATGAAATAAGAATTCAATTTCTGTCACGATCGAACATTCACTTTTAATTTTTGTTTCAATATATGTATATATTTCTTTTTTTTTAAATAAGATTCTACTTGTTTTTGAAACATGAAACATCATAAAAGTCTATAAATTACATTTGCAACAATTACTTTAGGAAAATATTTGCAAATGTCATATGAAAATTATCAAAATATAATTATATAATAACGTAATTACACTATTTACAAAACATAAAATACTGATGATTTATGAAGAACTATAATTTTTTATTGTTACAACTTTGCATATTTGTTATACATTTTATACATTATTTTACACTAGATAAAATGCACTGCCAGAGCAGATTACTTTTTTCTTGTATTTTCTTCTCTTTCTTACATTTTATTATAGCTTGAATGAAATGCCAATTATCTATGCAATAAACAAAAACAAAACTGTTGTCATTGAAAAACAAATTACGGATCATATCTTTTGTAACGATCAGTATTTGTCGTTTTGACAAAACTTAATAAAATTATGACTCGTTTATTAACATAAACAAAATTGTTAAAAAAAAATAAACTTTATAATAGATATATCCAGTAGATTTGAAATGGTCCCATCTACTTTTTTTTTAAGGGGGGTGTAAATGTAAAAATAAAAACAAGAAAACAAACAAAAAAAGTTTTCCGGTTGAAATTCAGGTTTTATGTTAATCCAAGTTAAAATATTCGGTTTTTAACTGATCCATAATTTGTTTTAATGGTAAATTCTTCCTTCGGGGAAAAATTTCTAATATTTTTATGGGTTTCTGCTAATTTTGTTAAATCAAAACAAAAAAAGAAAACTGAGGAACACAATTGTATCAATTACAAAATAAAAATACAACCTGGTCTATACAAGCCGAACAATTTAACACAATATTGATTTTTACATACGATACAGTCAGTGACTATTTGAATTTTTTTTTTTTAATTTTTTAAAATAATTTTTATTAATCAATCAACAGCAAACTGAATAACAGCCTAATTATTCATAATTCAACAATAAGTTACACATACCACAGATCAATTATTTGATTATGCATTTATATTGTATTAACTTTAAAATTTAGAAAAATTTAAAAATGAATTACAAAAAAAATTGTTGGGCAATATATATATATAAGATATATATATATATATATATATATACGTAATTAAATGTTAATTGGGACTTAAAAAACACAATGAACAACAATATTGCAGAACAATTATTACAATATTGACATATTTACAAAAACAATGTTAAATATTAGAAGTTCGGTACTCATTATTGCATAGTTGTCTTATATAACAAAACAAAAATTACATGCACTCTTTAAAAAAAAAATAATAATAATAATAAAATATAATAATTATTATACTTACTATTAAAAATTATACTAAGACTTCAAATAGTCAAAATAAAATAAAAACAACAAACATATAAAAGTTATTATACAAATGACTATTGCCTTGTTTGCTTTATAGTCCTATCGATGTCATCTTTCAGTAAAATTATCATGTATTCTACAATTAAAATTTCTTTAGGAAACGAAAGGAAAACAAACAGCGATAAGATGTATTAAGGTGTAAGTAAAAAGATAAGAAACTGTAATGCAAATTCTTAATAGTATTTATATTTTAACAAATTTTAGTTTCACGTTAAGACAATAGTAACAATTGATGCAAATATAAAACATGTCAAGTTAAACTAAAGTTTTTTTTGTATTTTTCTTTACATAACAACCACATTAACAATTTATATTATTATTATTATTATTATTATTATGGTTCCAAGCAAGGATAATAGCAACTGATGCCAGAGTTAATAATTCAATGCCCCTAATATTGTTCAATTATCAGGTGAATTGCATACTTTTGTAAACAATAATTTTCGTATTCATAAAACATTACTATAGGCTTCAGCCAATGTGTTGTACTAACTAACTGGGATTGGATCACATTAGCGCTGCTGTTCTTTTCCATTTCGACTAGTATACCAGAATGACTCTACAATTACTAATTAAAAGTAAAATTAAACATTCTGCTAAGAAGGGTAAAAAACCGGTTTGCGTACAACAGTTTATTAAAAAAAAAAAAGGAAAAAAAAAGTACATTAAAAACGTATCTTTTTTGTTAAAACACTTAATAAACTGCGAATTTTGGAATGATATGAATTTTCAGAAAAAAAAAAAAAAAAGCAGTGCAGTCAATTAAAAAATAACTAATGATTGTTGTAGTTTTAATTTAATAATTACAGTTTCCAAATAGAACATATTTGAGCGACAAAATTTAACGATCAACATGTAAATCTGATTTATCTTCAAAATGTACAACTCGAGACAGTGTCACTGAAAGAGCATCTTCTAGTAATGTTAATTCATCCATTGCTTGAACAAATTACATTCAAAACATCGAGGCAACAACACAGGCATTATTAAATTAAAATAATAGTATTTCAAGTCTATATAGGAGTGGGATGGCACAATCCACTGCTACGCTGTTATTTATGATAATTATACAACAGCCATCAAAAATTGAAACTGAAAATACTCAAGGTCTTTATCATTTTTTGAACATTTCTTTCTTCTTGCTGCTTATCTCAAGTTCCATAAGTTTCTTCCACAGCTCTTCCCTCTCTTTTTCTCTTTTCTTCTCTCTACAAAAAATGAAATAAATAAACAAAAAATAAATAAATATGAAACTATTACTATATAGTGCAGTTAAAAGAAAAAAGCTTTTTTAAAAATGTATATTTTTTTTTTAAAGGAGAAATTTTAAACACTACCTTCTGCATTCTTTTGTTTTAGCAATGAAAAATTATGCTAACAATAAATACTTTTTAAAATTGCTAAAAAACAAACAAGAAACCATGAAAGAAAAAAATGTGACCAAAATTTGAAAAGAACCATCTAGTTTAAACAACAGTTCAATTATTAATGTACGATGCCACGCAATGTTAATATATATATATATATATATATAAAGGGAAAAAATAAACATTTTTTAAAATGCTTTTAATGATTTTTTACGTGTTTTACTCACTTCTGCCTGTCAGCTTTATATGATGACGTTAATTCATCGAACAGTTTGCTGTTCATATCCATGAATGTTTTCAAAACATTATACACCAGGGCGATAATCGTTTGATTCCAGTGTTCTTTGCTATTGCGATAAAGGGCGGGAAATAATATGGGCATGATAACATGGTTGTTTTCTTCAATCAGGCTCATAATGTACTCATTATTCCAAAGGTAAAGAGAACGCTCGGCAACCTAAATATATACATATATAAAGAAAGAAAATAAACCAAATGAAATTATATATGACTGATAATTTACCTGAAAGTGTGGGCTAGAAACGCACTTGGAAAGCTGTCTGAACAAAACCTCTTCAATTTTAACAAATTGAGATGGTTCGATAACGTCTAAAATTTCTTCAATTTCTCCCAAAAACATGACCTACAATCAATGGTTACTCCTAGTAAAGATATTCATTTTCCAAAAAAAGTTTCATTTAATTTTAATAAAAAATAACCCCATAGCATTTTTTTAATTGGGAAATTCTATGGAAATTACAGGAACTTGTAAACAAATTTACTCAACAGTATATGAAACTAAATACACTAATTTCGTGGTCCGCTTGACCAATTAATACATTACAATTAATTAAGGTTTTTAGTTGAGATGAAAAAAAAGTTAATAGCACGAGCGGGATTTGAACCCACGATCTTCGGCTAGATATGCCGCTGCTCTACTCGGACATCAACTTCCTATCTCAAGTGGATCGAGGTCACGATAGCTCAAGTGGTAGAGCAGCGGTGTATCTAGCCAAAGATTGTGGGTTCGAATCCAGCTCGTGCCATTAACTTTTTTTCAACTCAACTAAAAACCTTAATTAATTGTAATGTATTAATTGGTCAAGTGGACCACGAAATTAGTGAATTTAATGAATTAAATGAAGTACACTTCACTAAAGCTCTCCGAGGCCATTTCATTTGTCGTCGAGAATCCAATCTGATTACACGACATTTGAAAAATGGCAAAAAGGAGGGAAAACTCATAAGGTGGGGTTGAGATAGGAAGTTGATGTCTGAGTGGATCGAGGTCACGATAGCTCAAGTGGTAGAGCAGCGGCGTATCTAGCCGAAGATTGTGGGTTCGAATCACGCTCGTGCCATTAACTTTTTGTCATCTCAACTAAAAACCTTAATTAATTGTAAAGTATATGAAACATTTTATTCACACTAATTTTCGCCATATTTTGTGTTATTTTGTAATTCTGTCCTCCTAGAACCGGGTCCCTCGGCATTCAGGACATAAAGATAATGAGAGAGGGCACATATGTCATTCGAAATAGGAGCCAATATGAATTCTCTAGACTCCGAACCTTACTGTGACCTAACATCTTGCCACAAAAAAATGATACAACCAAAAATGGATCCTAAATGAGTCCAAAACCTGGTAAAACAATACCCCAGGCATGAGGCATATAAAGAGATTCATAGATAGGACATCTGCAACTCTAGTTAGAAGGGATTATTGGAGGGTAACTGCAGGATTCTGACTGAACTCCTGACTGGGCACTGCTGCCTAAAAAGGCACATGCACTGGATAGGAGTACACACAGAAGAAACACTGAATAGATTATGCCTTCTAACCAGATCATACACTAAAGGGCTGCTGGCAAGGCTATAGGGTTGACTAACAACCTGAACTGGCCAATGAGTTATAAAATCAAGAGGAGCACAGTAGATCTACTCAGGTCGAGGTATGGAAGGCCTTGTGGCTGCCTCATTTATCCCTATCCCTTCTAGAACTTCTCAGGTTTTTGGGCAAACTCTTCGATGTATATTATGCAGTCCTCAAGTGAGGTAGTTTTCTTATTAATAGCTTTGCAGAGCCGAGAATCAGGGAAAAGTTGAAGGGATAATGTCATACAAATGACAAGTGGGGTAGCATATCTCAAGCTCCAACTATTTCCAAGTGCCGTTTTTAGTCAATTATTGACTTTAATCGGGAAGCATTGGTGGCCACAATGGTTCAGGCGTTGAGACAGTGCTCATCATTGTAAGGTAAGGGTCCCAGGTTCGAATAAAGCGGCAATCAATTCAAACCCAACATACTTGCACAATTGCTTCAAACTAGTTGAAATACCCTCATTAACAAATTTTGACTTCATTTGTATGCAGTATACACTAGAAGTAGCATTTTGGCCAGGCCATTAAACCATAGCCTTTTGATTCCACCGAACACATAATGTCACTTTTTTCAGATGAAATCCAGCTTTTGAAGTTATCGACAAAAAAAAAAAAAAAAAAAAAAAAAACCACTTGAAGGGCATTGCAGATGGAGATGTAATAAATTTTTCTCTGTCAAAAACTTATGGGATGTATGTAAGAGGAATGGGGCGAGGTTTATGATCCCTTGCAATTAGCCAATGCCAGTCGTTGCTGACTTTAAATCGCTCCAATTGTATTCAGTACACAATTCAATTAACGTTTTGTCAGGCGGATGAAGCTAATAATAAACCACTGCCTTTCCACAAAATACAACATAACCTTTGTCGACTTAGAATTGTTAATGGTTGGTTTTCCCATGGATTTTCCTTTCTACATTGTCGTAAAGAATCCCATTTTTTTCTTTTCTTTTAAAAATCCGGGTCATTTACATTGCATTTTAGAAGGGAATCGCTTATATCACACTGATTAAATGCGTTGAAACACTTGTATGTTAAGTTAAGTGTCTCTGTGATGCCTCATGGGTTATTTGCGACAAAAGATTGAATTTGATAATGACCAAAGAGTGTTCTGTGCTTCCAAATCAATATTTCTGCTTCTGAATGGAGCAAACCTCTAAGAACTGTTCTTTCTCCCAAACCATCATTATACACATCACAAATTTTCCCAGCAGTCTGAGGTGCGGTTTTTCAATTTTAATTATCCCAAAACCTTAAATAATCCGTTTTAAAAGTGTGTAAACAATAATGAGTAAATAAACACTATTGTAAAACACAATAAGGATAAAATTGAATTATGAAAATATGCCATGGCCTTATTTTCCCAGCCAATATGTTATGGGTCTCTCTAATCATTACTTATTGTTTGTTTAATCGTGTATAAATGATGTAATCATTAGAAGCAACAACAAACCTAACAATCTTTAGTTTTATTTCAGCCAGAATAAAAAGAAATCAAATAATTAATGTATTGTAATTAATTACAGATATTGGAATTACCTCTTTTTGGCTGCATGTCTTGGGCCAGTATTTTAGAAGACCTCTTACAACAGGTTCCGTAAGTGTGGCGTCTTTTTCTATGAACTGTACCACGCAATATGCCAACTGTGCATGGTACGACGACAAGCATTTCACCTTGTGAAGGGGTATCAAAACTTTAACTAGAAATTGTTTGTGCTCAGCCTTAAGTGGCAATGCAAATCCATTAATGATGCTGAAAAAAAATTAATTAAGAAAGAGATTAATGAGTTTACAGTAAAAATGTTTAATAATACACATACCTTCCTAATATTTCCAAAAGTTCGCCCACACCATTGAAATGCTCAGTTTCATAAACAAACCTGTAATTTTATACAATGCATGAATTCATGATGAAACGATTCGCAACAAATTTTCATTTAATTCAAGTACAAACCTCAAAAATATATTATTAATTTGTTTTCTGATGAATGCCCTAAGTCCCAAGAATTTGCCATAAATACGATGCAGTACAGTCTTAAGGAAGTCACGCTCCCTTGGATCTTCACTATCAAAAAGTTCCAGCAGCTGTTGAACAAAATAAGGCAAAATTACCCTAATCTTTTAATCATAACAATTCAACTTCTATGATTAGTTATTCGGAGATTGTGAGATGCGGTCTGGTGTGATGAAGGTTTTGAAAAACATTTTCTTTATTGTGCCAACGTTTCGATCTTTATTGAGATCTTCTTCAGGGCCTGACGTCACACTAGACCGCATCTCACGATCTTCGAATAATCATTGACAAACGGTCACTAAACACCACACATTTCTAGGATTTGGTTTAACATTACAAGCTTGTGTACAAATTATTTTTGCGATTTTGTGCTATTAATTTTTATAATTATTAAAAACATTACTAAACAAACCAACAAAAGCTTAATGCTGATTAGACCGAATATTTGAAAAAAGTATACAAGCTTTATAAACATTAAGTTTGTTCCATCGCATGCCCAAGCCATAAGAAAACTGGCGGGTGCACACGCAGTTTAGATTGGGCATTCCATCACACTTCAAACGCAAACTCAAACTATAAGTCAGCCATTCCGACTTGTTTTCAGGCCAGGTTTGTGACTGGTTTTTGACCAAGTGACTAGGGACTGGCAGTCATATATTCATACACACTTTTTTAAATAGACTTTTTCAAAAAATTATTAAGGAATTATTATATTATCACTTGATTAACCTAACCTGCTTGAGTCTGAGATTGGAAAAACACATTGCAACAGTTAGGAATCCATGATCATTCAATGTTCAAGTATGGACAGTCATAAATCTTGGTTTAATTGGCAACTCGTTCGGATTGTGTTTGGAATAAACCTATTATGTATAGTAACAATGATCACGCATTTTTAGTTTACTGTACTTTTCTTATTTTAACTTTGATTAACAAGTTGAGTATGTTTGACGCAACATATGGTCATGCGAACTGCCCTTTTGGGTATGGTCTACACAAAGTCTGTGTCCTACTGTTTATACTTTTTAAACTCTCCACTTCACCACCTGTACAATGCCATTTGAAATTCCTAAGGCCGACTCAGAAAGGGCAAAAGTATCTGTCTTTGGTAAACTTAAAAAACTCATAATTTATGTTAATAATAATAAAGCAGTACGGCTTTGCCATTTTACACAGATAAATTTAGTTCCGATATAGGCAATCAAAATGGCCAAGTATAGGACAGTCAATATGTTAAGCAAAAGTTTGGTTTCACAATGAAGTATAAATCTTCAGTAATTGCTTAAATACACGAAACTATAGATTTAACATACCTGGAGTACAAACTTTTGATCAATCACTTTTTTCCCAATAGTTGGTTGGAAATCAGACGACTCCAGGAAACGTAAAAAAATTTCATAAACAAGCTGAAAGAAAAAAATTAAAATAAAATGCTTGATACATTACAGAAAATTTAAGGAACACATGGTATAAGTTATAATTGATAGAACTCACCGATAAATGTGGCCATGAGGCTTCTAATGTCGGTTCATCTTCTTCGGGATCATAATCAGGGTTTTCACTAGGGGGGAGGGTCCTGAACAGGTTTGCAGAAATCTAAATTAAAAAAAATTAAATTTATAAAAATATCACGACAATAGTTTTCATCAAAGAATTAACAAGACGGAGATTTTTTCTTTTATTTTTTTACCGTTAAAAAAAAATTGTTTAATTTATTTCATGTTATATTTTATAAAATAAATTACACACACTTATTTTTCATCTATTCCTAGATCTCTGATACCTTAATATGTTAGATATTGATATTTTTAGTTTATCTAGATTAGCTTTTTAAAAAAAACTGTTATTAACATTATGTTCCTACAACAGAAATGTTTTATTTTACCTGTTAATCTTTCTGAGAATTATGTTTATATTTTATATATCGCTTATAAGCTTGTAATTTGTTTTGTACTTTGCACAGTTGTGTTGTTTTTCAAAAAGTTTATATATTTTTTGTTCTTGGCTTACGTTACATTTTATATTGGTTTATATACATCGTAAATTAAAGGATTAATAATCCATAAATAAATATATAAATATAAATATTTACCATTTTAACAATTTCAGGATATACTGGTTCGGTCAGGACCCCTCTCCCATTGGACACATATTCAACTAATTCATTCAGAGTCGATCTTTTAGTTTCTTTCCCTTTAATATCGACTGTGGGGTCCATAAAATCAAACGCCACGCAACACTGGCGGAGTTTGTGAATGAAAAGCTCCTCCTGTTCTGATGATGCAACATCTAAAACAAAAACAAAAAATAAACTTATAACAAATTGTAATTTTTTTAATAATTTTATGTTAATTATTTATTTACATAAACAAATAAAACACAAAGTTGGAATATGTAAAGGATAATAGTATCAATATTTGAAATTGTTAAATTTCTTCTTGAGGCCTAAGGTTTTACCTGCAGGCAAAAATTCATAGTGCAAATACTTTAGCAGGCCAGAAAGTAGCGAATACAACTTTTTGCAATGGAAGCCAGGCTAAGGATTTTTCATCAGAGTTGGAATTCCTAGACTAGGGACAAGCAGCCCATTATTCTTACAAAAATTATGATTATTTAAATTATATTAACTACTGAGATCTCTGTGACGCTAAAAATGCAATAAAAATCATGATTAAAAGTTGCAGCGTCGATGGGCTGAATTGGTAGAGAAGCTTTCACATATATAGAAAACTGCCGATAGGTGTCCACTGTGGATCTGACTTGAAAAAGGATCATCCTCACCCGGTTAAGAATATTTGGGCCAAAGTCTGCGTTATGTGTCCGGCATGTAGAGAAAGGTTGCTCAATTTGTCCCACTTAATTGAAGGGTGCCATTCCTTTGCTCCCTGGAGAGAGTGAGTAGGCCTAGCAGCGAGTATTTGGGTCTTCCGTTCCGATTCTTGTAGGAAACTGGGTTGTTTTACTGTACATCGTGCTGATATTGTTGTATCTCCTAGTCTGTGGAGAGTGAATATACTTACTGGCGTGAATGTAGTGTGAAAGAACTGATGGCGAAATACTGAGTACTCCGTCAACCTTCAATTAGATTAGTTACATAATAAGTGTAAAGGGTAACGGAGGAATATCGAGTACTCCACCACCCTCAGTTAATGGTATATACATAAGAATGTATTTAAGGAAGACTGAATGTGAATGGATTTGGATTTAGGAAATGATTACGTTGGGTGCTAAACTGACACACCTCTTGTTGTGAAGTCTTTTCAGGATTTTGGTCACAACGGTAGATAAGAAGGCTGATGGAGGATACGTGGTTGAGCGATGAGTGAGCTTCAGCAATGAGAATAACTATGGAATACTTCCATACAAGAGGAAAATGGGTGGTGTGTAGGATGGAATTGTATATTGTAGCTAAAACTTTTATACTCAATCAATTCTTTAAAATAACAAATAGTTTTGAAAGTTCATAACACACTGAACTGATGGACACAGCTGTTTCAAATTTTTATTTTAACTTTTTGTTTTGTGAGGAATTAGGTGGGCATCTTAATGCAACACGTGCTAGGCTAGCTGTCACTAGAATGACCAGTTTGTTCTTTCAAAAATTCTATTCAAATTAAAGGTATAAGCTAATTTTCGAAGTTTATCATACCTCGGCTGTTTTCAAATTTGTTTAATTTTTCTGTTTTGCTTTGTATTAGGTTCAGACTCTTTGCAACACTTGCTGAGGCAGATGATACAAGAATGGCCCTATAAAATTTAAACGACTCAATATGTCGGATAGTTTTAAAACCTTGACTGAACATGGCTGTTTGAAATTTTTGTTTTCAGTTTTTGCTTAGGTGATGCTAGAATGATCAGTTTGTTCTTTCAAAAATTCTATTCAAATTAAAGGTATAAGCTAATTTTCGAAGTTTATCATACCTCGGCTGTTTTCAAATTTGTTTAATTTTTCTGTTTTGCTTTGTATTAGGTTCAGACTCTTTGCAACACTTGCTGAGGCAGATGATACAAGAATGCAGGCCCTATAAAATTTAAACGACTCAATATGTCGGATAGTTTTAAAACCTTGACTGAACATGGCTGTTTGAAATTTTTGTTTTCAGTTTTTGCTTAGGTGATGCTAGAATGATCAGTTTGTTCGTTCAAAAATTCTATTCAAATTAATTAAAGATATAAGCTAATTTTCGAAGTTTATCACAATACAGCTGTTTCAAAATCTGTTAAAATTTTGGATTTGCTTTAATTTGGATTTAGGTTTGTAGTCTGCCTTTGATTACTACTACTAGTTTGTGTACAGTTGTGTGCGAAGGAATCCATTGTGGGTAAAAAATATTCCGAGGCACGTCTTCCTCAAAGGAGAATTTGGCCGTGATGGCGGGAAACGCGACTGGAAATTCAACTCGAATTAGAAGTCGATTCTTTAGTTTATCATAACTCGGCTGTTTTCAAATCTGTTTAATTCTTCTGTTTAGCTTTGAATTAGGTTCGGGTTCTTTTCGGCACTCGCTAAGGCAGATGAGCGAGAATGAAGGCCCTTTGGAAATTTAACAAACTCTAAATCAAATAACTTAATATATCGGCTTAAAAATGATTTTCTACACTTTGCAACTAATTTCCAAAATGCCCAGAGGGGGGCCCGATACACCGTTTTGACAAATCCCTTCGGCCGGGTGAGAACAAATGGGAAATTTGCAAGTGTGATAATCCCCCTTCTCGTGTCGGGGACTCGGACACTCAAGTCCGATATTCACGGGGCGCTTCGCACACCCGCGTCGGGTATGCTAAGCACGGGCTTCGCCGACTTAATAACAATTTTTAATTGCAACCAAACCCAAGCTCGCGTTTATTTATCCAACGAGGCTTTAATCATAAAACCATTCAAGAAAAATAATTATCCAAGGTCTCAATTATAGTATTTAGTTGAGAAGTTGAAAAAAAAAAAAAAAAAAAAAAAAAATCTTTTGTTTAAGAACGATTCACTCTAAAATTATACGTGTTTAGCAATCCATATGGAACATAAATTGCCTGTCGTTGAAATATTAAGCTAGTTAGTTATTATTAGGTTTAATATTATTGGGTCATAACGATACGAAAGGCAAAGGTGTTGGGTCGACCGGAAAATTTGACCCAGTCTGATACCGATGACGAACAGAAAATTTTGAAATTTGTCCAATAAAATCTACGACGAAGAGAACCACGGGCGTGTTGATGTCTATTTCAAATTAATCTCATTAAATTAAACTTAAATTGATCTACTTACCAATAGCATTCCCATAAAACAAACATCTCGAGAATGCATGATGAAGAATATCATGTACAGATTTCTTAAACATGTTAAAATTGTATAAAAAATGAAAAAAGGGCTACTTTCAGCCTGTGTTGCTATGAGACAAATGAAAAAATATCCTAAGCACATGATCATTTTTATAAAACGAACAAATGATTAAATAACTTTGAAATTAAATTTTAAATTGCAATTGGTTTATTTGAAAATATACAGCTGGGATGTTTTACTTTTAATATTTTAAAGAAAAGACATTTGCCCTAAATAGAAAATAATTTAAAATAGGGGGGGGGGCAAAACAAGAGAGAGAAATTGTAGAAATCTTAATTTTTAAACCTCTTTAGACAGCTGTCATCTGCAAGTGAGTTTTAAACAGTTTCATTACAGTGGCTCTCTTCCGAATCAGAAAATATCTATCGAGAGAGAAAGAGAGAGGGGGAGAATGTGTGGTGAGAATGAGACAGAGTCTGTGATTGATTGATTGAGAGAGATGGGAGGAAGAATGCGTGTTGAGAATGAGACAGTCTATGATTGATTGAGATTGAGAGAGAGAAAGAGAGAGGGGGAGAATGCGTGGTGAGAATGAGACAGCGTCTGTGAGAGAGAGTGTGTGTGTGTGTGTGTGTGTGTGTGTGTGTGTGTGTGTGTGTGTGTGTGTGTGTGAGAGAGAGAGAGAGAGAGAGAGAGAGAGAGAGAGAGAGAGNAGAAAAAGATAGAGAGAGAGTTCTTTCGCCTTCCTTTTTGAGAGATGATGTGTTTTGAATTTTTCTTTATTAACTCCAGTTCCAACTTAAGCACCATTCCGACGCGCCCAGTATTGGTGTTAAGGACCCATGGGTGAGAGGTCTGTCCCCTTTTTTAGCTCGTTGGTTAGCCTGTTCATTTCCTTCTATACCTTCATGTCTGGAGAGCTTTAAGATAATCTTGTGTTTGTGTGTGTTTTACCAGTCATTACGCAATTTAGGCACTTCCTGTGTCGGTTGGTATTTGTGGGACATGTTCGGAAAGTTCTTGGGAGTAGATGTCATTGCTGAACGGCAATCAATAGGTGAACCTGGTGTAAAGGTTTTGTTTAAAGTAGGAACCGCCTTTGACAAAGGATCCAACTTCATACGTCAACCTCAAATATCCAAAAACGTAAAACAAACATACGCGTGTATACTAAATCATAAAACATAAAATAAGAGTGAAATTGCAACATAAAAGGCAGGATCGAAGCAATGACGAGAATTAGACAAATCAAACCTATCTATAGGAAAATAAAATGTATATTTTTTTTATTTTATTATTTTCCTGAGCCGACCGTATTAAGGGCGACTATTATTAAACCGTGTGGCACCGTTGTAGAGATTCATTGAATTCTAAATTAGCACTCCTGCCTCGGGTTCCTTTCACGAAATTGCTGATACTTTTAATATAACTTATATAGTGGAGGAGGACAAAACAAACGAAAATTATGAAACACCTCAAAAGAAACTCGGCTCGAATTATCCTTAGTCTTCGGAAGCTTTGTGTAGTATTTTCTCTACTTCTCAAAGCACTAAATTCAAACATCATTAGCTCAAAGATGGTGCTGAATTGAATAACTACACTAAATAGTTTATGTATGCAAAATAAAGTCACCTTCTGTTGGGTCCCAGGATATGTGGGGGTAGAGGGCAACGAGAGAACGGACATCCTTGCAAGGAAGCCATACCGCTGATATGTCCTGAGCCCTTCTGTGGCATAGGGATTCACACTATCAGTGAGTACCTTAGACAGAAGGACAAAATGAAAATAAAGAAACAGTGGAATTCACTCATTGGACGTAAACAATCTAAGAAATTTTGGAAAGAAGAAACAACAGTAGGGACCAAAGGAATAAGGAAAACCTTTGAATCCTGAGAGCATACTTAACAGGGCACTGCAGACTGAATGGGCATCTGAAGAACATTGGTATAACTCAACACGGTGCAGATTCTGCAAAGACGCAGGCAACAACACCTACTAACAAATTGTGGAAATT